TTTGAGTAGCCTTGGTATTATTTTCAGGCAAGTCATTAAAGAGAAAAGAGAAAACACCTGCTGAGCATCTAGACCATCACTATGTGTCCAGAAGCCCTTTTTTTTTTTTTTTTTTTTTTTTGAGACGGAGTTTTCGCTCTTGTTACCCAGGCTGGAGTGCAATGGCGCGATCTCGGCTCACCGTAACCTCTGCCTCCTGGGTTCAGGCAATTCTCCTGCCTCAGCCTCCTGAGTAGCTGGGATTACAAGCATGCGCCACCATGCCCAGCTTATTTTTTGTATTTTTAGTAGAGACGGAGTTTCACCATGTTGACCAGGATGGTCTCGATTTCTCGACCTCATGATCTACCCGCCTCGGCCTCCCAAAGTGCTGGGATTACAGGCTTGAGCCACTGCGCCCTGCCAGAAGCCCTCTTTTGAATGACACAAGCATGGGGACGCATACAGATAGTCTCAAAGACCTTCACAGAACAGTGGGACTTTGGTATTTTCTCCCGTCTTTCCCATATCCTCCTGATTCTCAGGTGAAAAGAAATATGTTGAGAATACAAGACTGACTTAGAGTAATGGCCAAGCTAAGAATCTGCCTGGTAAAATAAGAAACAGATCTTGCTGCACAATCTGTAAGAAGATACTTTACAGCTCAGTATATTGTTTATTTAATAACCTCCTCCCAGCTCACTATTAAACAGCCAAGATGCCAGGTGTGATTCAGTTAAAGTTAACCTCTGTCCTTGAGAGAACTGTAGAAAGAGAGTGCTTGGGACCCTTGGGAATATCGCCATATTATATAGATAGTAAAAATCAAGTTCAACATTTATGTGGTATTTTCCCAAAATTAGAATGCCAAGATGGAAACTCAGGTTTTTTGACTCTCAGAAGATGACACATTGATGAGTCACACTCCTTCCATTGAAGCTTCTAGCAATTTTATAACCAGCTTATAGAAGATACCAAGCACATATATAACTTCAGATTTGGGTTTCAAATTATCGATTGAAATGAGAAGATAGGCTGGGCACAATGGCTCCTGCCTCTAATCCCAGCACTTTGGGAGGCCGAGGTGGGCAAATCATGAGGTCAGGGGATCAAAACCATCCTGGCCCACGTGGTAAAACCCCATCTCTACTAAAAATTCAAAAATTAGATGGGCATGGTGGTGGGTGCCTGTAGTCTTAGCTACTTGGGAGGCTGAGGCAGGAGAATTGCTGGAACCCAGGAGGTGGAGGTTGCAGTGAGCCAAGATCACACCACTGTACTCCAGCCTGGGTGACAGAGTGAGACTCCATCTCCTCCCCCTCCCTCACCCCACAAAAAAGATATCCTCAGAAAACAAATGAAAGATAAAAGGCAACTATAATTCATCTTTCAAGACTGTGATCTAATGACCTATCTCAGGATTTGCAAATGATGTCACAGATTTTTATTTTTTGAAGGGAGATGGGTTAGGTCCATGTAATGTTTAGGGATTTAAAAGTTGATACTTGATGACCCAAAGTGGTTTCTAGTGATTGTCATTTCATTTTCCCAGGGATCGCCCGCTTTCTTTGAAATCTGGCAAGGAATTGTCATCTAAAGTGCATGTCAAATTTGCCAATGTCTAAATTACAGCATATGCCTTTTGCCATGGTTCAAAGTGATAATGAAATAGTTTGGTGAATTTGAAGCAGATTCTGATATAAATACTGTTTTAAATATTTGAAACGTGCTTTGTTGCTGTCAGCATTATCTTGTGGAAATTGTAAGGGTTAACAAACTGGTTGTTCTCTGTCGAAATTACTGAATCAGTCTTAGAACTTCTTTTAATTCACATATTTAGTAAGGAGAAGAAGATCTTTGAAAGGGTAGCTATTTTTAAGCCAACACTAAGCATATTTCTTCCTTCATCCTTCCCCCTAATTTGTAAGGTCAATGATATCTACCCCTTTGACTGATAGCAAATCCCATCTGTATGAAATCAGCTTATCTAAATACATTAGGAATGCCCAGCAGGCCTGTTTCATGGAAATTAAATCAGTGGATAACTTTGTGGTGAGAAAATCATGAGGTCATGGCTACTATTGCTTCCAAACAAAATGAGCAAAGCTTTAGATCAGTTTGCTTTTGCTTTTTCCACAAAGTTTAGTGTCATCTTCCTTTTAGAGTTTGACATTCAGAATATCTCTAGAGCTCAGAAAATAAAAGCAAGCTTAGCCGTTGGGGTTGCGGGGTGCACTGATGAAGTAGGAGGTAGGCGATAACCCTGACGAGGTGTGAATATGTTGCCTCAAATATTGCTCAGAAGTTTGTGATATGAATTAGAACTATTAGGTTCCATATTTTGCCTAAAGGCTAAGAAGTAGGATTCTATATAGTAAAATGGTAGCTGGAGGTAGGGTGGGGTCATATCAATTTAAAGAAAAATAATTTTGTTATGGGCCACTCTGGGTTGGAAAAGTATTTCTATTTGGTATCTCCGTATTCCAGGTTATAAAACCTGAAATTTAGGAGGCGAGCATTGCTACAATAATCATCTCTCATGCATTATAAACATAGTTTAGGCAGTCACTCATGAAAAAATCCTCGTGTTTCTTGTTTCTGTATTTCCCCTTTCATGTTTCCAAAGGAAGCTCTTTAAAACGTGTATGTTCATGATATACCAAGTCTCCCCTTATCAAAATTATATCTTAGTAAAATATCTGATGAAGAAAGGTTTTTAGAAAAAAAATTTGGCATAAAGAATTATGTCAATATGTTTTTAAAATGTGCTTATTCTTAAGATCCGTGTATCTGATGCCAGCACTTCCCTGGGTTTTGTAAAATGAAAGGCTTTGCTTATTAAATGGTGCTCAGCTATCAGTAGAGCAAATGGAGTGATACTTGGTGGGAAAGTAGGGTAAGGGGAACAGTCATGGTGGGGAGAGGAGGACGTTTTCTAGAACTGTGCTTATTCTAAGGAAATAATCAGGTTGAATCTCTTTGACTGTCTACTTTAATGTCCTCTGGGTCATTTGGTGATACACAGATTTCTGTGAGTAGTGGGATGTTTGTAAAGAAGGTGATGAAAAAGGCAAGAAAATTTCCTTGGGAATTCAGTAATGCATTGTAAAAAGTTATACGCGATTAATGCAAACAAAATTCTCATGAGGACATTCATGCCTCAATTCTCTGGACTTTACTTGCTATAATACATTTGTCATGGAATTGTATGTGAATACTCTGTCAATTTAATTTGAGTATAAATATGCTAGGGAATATAAGTAGGAAAAAATGAAGTCAGAACTAGTTGTAAGCAGAAGTTACTTAAGAAATAATCTCTGTAATGCAGTGCTTCCCTATATTTCAAGATACACATTAAAAATAGGAATGTTTGTTAAAATATCCTGAGGTTAGTCAAAGGTGCTCCAATTACCTGAGGCACTATGTACCACCCCATACACTGATGAGAAATCTCTGCTGCAGTGTGACGTTTTGCAAGTAGATTTCCATTTTTTCCATCTTCATGAGGTAATACTCCACATGTACTCAAATGTATCTGATTTGTACTAATCACAAAATTACACTTTACTCTGTTTTTATGAAGAATCTGACCACTTTGTCTCAATTACAGATATATGTAACACAAAGGCATTAAATAACTAAAAAATTCACACAAGCTGAAAGAAAAAGCACGCTTTTCAGTGAAATCTTTGGCATTTCAGATCCCCTAAGAAATAACCACACCTACCTCATCCTTGTGAGAGGTCTTTATTTCCTAAGCTGATGACGACACAGTACTAAAAAGTACTTGAGTCCATCTATTACCTTCCCTGAGCCTGAAGAACAAAATAACCTGAGCTCCAACCCTAATTCTCAATCCCTTCTCTTCCCACTTCACCTCCACCAGAGTCACATCCACCTCTTCTCTCAGTATTGCATGTTGGAAGAGATAATTTAAAAAGTAGTAACTGAGTCATCCAATACTCTTTAACTGCAGCAATTTCACTCGGAAGCTTTTAAAATGTACCTATATCCAGGTGCTATTAAATACTATTCTATAAGGATGGGGAGACAAGATACCCAGATAAAGTAAAATAGTTTAGAAGTAATCTGAGGCAATTAATATGCTAAAATGCAATACAAACATGAGCTCATAGAAGGCACTGATTATTGTTAGCACTGAAGTTTTGAAGAACAAGGTTCAGAGGAGTTGGGGCTTGAGTTGGCAAGTGCAAAGGATATCCTCAGGTGAAGACCAGAAGAAAGGGCCTAATGAAAGAATGAAGTATGAACACTAGACAGACTCCGATAAAGTGGTTGTGGAAAAGGAATGAGGTAGGCCTGGTTAGTTTTAATACTCATTTGAGAAGCAATGGGAATGGGCATTATGTACCTGAGCAAAACCAGATGATGGAGGTACTTGAAAATAACACCAGGAGTTCATCCTGGAATTCAAATGATAATTAAAGGCTTTCATTAGAGAGGAAAGAAGTGGGATTAGAAAGACAGGATAGTGCCTAAAATCTTTGGGGTTCTTGAAGGCACCACTTGAAGACTGACTTTTGAAGCAGGTTTAATGACTTGCATCTATCACCTCTTCTCAATACACACCTTTCTCATTGTTCATAACCTTAAGTGTGAATATCCCTGATAGCCAGTTTATAACTATTAGCATGTGTTTGCCTTTATGGAGCATGTCTGTGGAATTTTTTATTCCATAGCATCTAACACAATGTAAGTGGTTACAACAAACATTTCCATTAATGAGCTCCTCTCTAGTTATATAGTCTTGGATAAACCACTTAATCCCCCCAATCTTGGTTTCAATGAACACACAAGATTTAAGTATTTTCTAATCTTACATATATAATTACCATGTAAGTTTCTGATAATCATTCTCTGCCACATAAATGATAATATTTGGAAAGAGAAATTGCTTCATTCCTGGGTATTTACTCCCACTAGGTTTGAAAAAACTATTATTTATACAAGGAATTGTATAACTTTGGTTTACTCTGGACAGTTCAAAAACATAACTCATGTTTGACAAGAAAATAATACTGATCTTATTTATTTTTGTGTCTTTGGGTTGATCAATAAAGGTAAATTTTAAAATCTGTAGGTTAATACATTGTAATGGCATAAATATTTAAGATCAGTAAAGGAAACCATCAAACTCCATTGTAATTCATACATAAAATGTACAAAGCAAACAGTCATGATTTAAAGATTTTAATACATAATTAAAAATCGACAGTTGAGTATTACATAGTTATGTCACATTGATACTGTTAGATATGTGGATGTACATATTTTTCTTTCCAGTAAAATAGTTTCATGCTTATAAAAGTCATCCTAGGTCAACTTGGGACAAAGAAAACAATGTACAGTAGAAATAAACCAAGTATTAAATAGGATATATAGGTAAGGAAAAAATATTATAAAGCAGTTACATACATACACACACATAAATAAATACACTTTTCTATTATTTGAAGGCAATTCACAATCATTTCCAGGAATTCTGTGAGAATTTAAGGCCATTTGTTCTAAAGAAATGCTTTAATTTAGACACAACTTCACAAAACTGTAATTCTTATAAAAACTGTACATGCAAAAACTCTTTACAATTAACTGTGGACAGGCAGGTCAGTATATAGGAGTAGTTTATTTCACAAATGTGTTGTGCACTAAGTCACACAGTTGTATATATTTATTTAACTGGTAATTTCTCAAAAGACTTCCAGCCTGTGCACCTTGCGTGGCAACGTGGAATGGTGATAACCAGAAATCCCAATCAAGAGAGCCAGTATCCCTTTGAATTAAAATATCTAGACAAGATATAATGGAATAAAAAGTTTAAAACATCTGTGACATGGTTCACAGTTAAATATTCTTGGTTTCAGGCTTTCTAAATAGCATTATTATCTAAGGATGCTACTTTTTACAAAGCATTTTCTGTGCATTTATAGATCACAATGTTTGACTTTTTGTAATTTCTCCTTAGTGTTATGAAACACAAACCAGCTGCAGTCTAAATTTAGAAACCAAACTCCATGAAAAATGCATGTCCAACCAGGAGACACATCTGCCAGGCTTAACTCCCCAAACTCAGCAAACATTGCTGAGAAACTGATTATTAAGCAGATGTGGCTTCTTAAGACAATCCAGTTACTGAGAAAATATAAAAGCATTTTTCCCTTCCCTTATTTGCAACTGTGTTTGTCCAGACAGTCATTCAAAGAGATATTGCTCTTGTGATTATAGCTATTGCAATTTAGAAGACAAAGGATTTAGTATTCAAAACTTTTATTCTTAAGAACAGTTACAAAAGTATTGAAATGTAAAAAGTAGTAACATGTAAACATTGATACAGAGACTGCTGTCCTATACACGTAGCAGTCAAAGACAATATTTGAGTTAAAAACATAGTTTGTGCTTTTTCCCAACAGTGCATTGGAAATTAGCTGTGTCTGTCCAAAAGAAAAAAAAAAATTAGGTAAGACATCCATACTCTGCTTCAAGCATTTAAACAATTTTTCTGTTGCTCATGCAACAACCATATTTACAGTTTTGGTTTAGGAAGAGAATTAATTTTGGATCCAAGAAAGCACATTAACCAGTACTGCTGAAACCAAACTGAGAAAAGTATCCCATTACCTGGTTCATTACAGAGCACCAGGCACAAAGCATTAACTCAGCAGTTCTAACTGATGTGTCGTTGACATTAGCAATTGAGAGTGCAGTCATATTTGAGTCTGTAACACATGTGTAGGTGGGGTGTATGGGGGAGGCGCAGGTGATGGCTTGATTCCTCGGGCTCTCATATAGGAGAGAAACTGTTCAGGGATCTCAGCTAGGACGTCTTTAGCCAATCTAGCCATGCTCAGTATATGGTTTCCGCTTCTGTCAATATAATCCCTGAATGGCACAAACTAAAACACAGATGAAAAGTTACTTCAGACTTTAGAGGCTGTGTAATAAACAGAAAAATCAGCACATATACACATTTGGTCATAGAAAATCAGGGAATCTGAGAATAATGGGGAGATGAATATTACACATTTTTAAAAAATTCAATATACTACAAATAGCTATAAGTGACTAAACTTATATATACTTTATCTCAAAAGGAATGCAGTTGTTTCCTGTTTCTCCCCCAATAACTCATGCCACTGAATCCTAACATGCTCATTATTTGCCAAATGTCTTCTGCAGTTTTGGGTTCTATACCTAGCCTGACTCCCAACAGGATGGAGCATTTAACCTCTTTGGGGCTTGGTTTCCTATCAAATGGAGTTAACATATGCCTACTTCAGGTTCTGATATAAAAATACTACCTAATTCAGGGTTAAAAATAATACTGTACATTATTAAGGAGTCCTAAGCACATTATTTTAATTATTGCCATGACAAAAATCACATGGTCTATGAATATAGAATTCATTCCACTAATATTAATAGGAAACTGAAATATTCCATACATTGAGTTTTGTATCAGATGTTGATTTTTAAATATAATTTGGGAAGACAGGAAAAAAGACCTTGGCATAAAATTTGGGTATATTTCTTAGTGAATTATGTTGGCACAAAAACGAATTGCAGTTTTGGCAGTAATTTGCAGTGGCGAAAACTGCAATCACTTTTGCATCACCTTTAATAAAAATGATTACTCTATCTTTATTATGTGAAAGCCCTTATCAGCTCAACACCAAATGTTCCTGTAATAGATTGCCTTAATCCCTTCTCATTTATAATGGTTATTTAAGTTAATAAACACTGTGCTGTTTGAGGGCATTAGTTCAATTTTCTCTTAGGGACATAATGATGCTTGAAGCAACTCTCAAGTGATTGGAACTGTTAATGTTGTGATAATTTAAAAGCACAGTAATTTTAAGTCTTCAGAGAAAAAGCATAGTGAAGATATTTTAATATGTTGAATAATTTCTGAGTATAATATTTAAAATTTTGAATTAAGTCATTTTTTCTCCCAGATGAAGACAAAGAACAATCCTGTCTCAGGCTGTAAAATACCACTGAACATTTATTTTGAAAAATAAGTTTGTTTTTTGTTTAAAGTTATTCAATATGTGCCTTTAGAAAATAATTATTATTAGACAGCATTTGAAATGATCAAGTTGCTATAGGTAAACTAAAAAAATTTTTAGGAAATCAAATATTAATGTCTTTTACACAGTAAAGGTAGTCTTTTAAAGGAAGAAAAAATTATTCCTTTCTTTTAAAAATAAGACACACTACAAGAAAGCATAAGTATATGACCAAAATTTTACCTTATTTGTCTTTTTTTTTTTTTTTTTTAATGAATGAGAGGTTCTTATGTTGCCCAGGTTGGTTGGCCTCGAATGCATAGCCTCGCCTACTCAAGCGCCAGGACAACTGGCATGAGCCACCGTGGGCCCCCCCCCCCCTTATTTGCCTTTACCCTGTTTCCAGGAGGAAAACTCAGAGCAGTTTTTATAAATAGATATTTAAAAGGGGACATACCACTGCCTGGATTCATTGATTTTTTTTTTTTTTGAAGGTTTTTTTTTGTGTCTATCTCCTTCAGTTCTACTCTGATCTTAGTTATTTCTTGTCTTCTGCTAGTTTTTGAATCTGTTTGAAGCTTCTCCTCTAGCCAGGCACAGAAAGATGAATACCACGTGTTCTCACTCATATGTGCAAGCTTAAAATGCTGATGTTATAAAAATAGGGAGTAGAACAGTGATTACCATAGGCTGGGAAGGATAGCTGGGAACGAGGGGTAAGGAGACTTTTTAGTTAATAAATACAAAATTATAAGCTAGATAGGAATACATTCTATTGTTCTCTAGCACTGTAGGGTTACCATAGTTGATGATAATTTATTGCATCTTTTTGAATAGCTAGAAGACAGAATTTTGAATGTCCCCAACACAAATAACAAATGTAGGCTGGGCACGCTGGCTCCCACCTGTAATCCCAGCACTTTGACTTTGGGAGGCCAAGTCGGGCAGATCATGAGGTCAAGAGATAGAGACCATCCTGGCCAACATGGTGAAACCCCGTCCCTATTAAAAATACAACAATTAGCTGGGCATGGTGGCATGTACCTGTAGTTACTGTAAGACAGGAGGATGACTTGAACTGGGGAGAGGGAGGTTGCAGTGAGCCAAGATCGCACCACTGCACTCCAGCCTGGTGACGGTGAGACTCTGTCTCAAAATAATAAAATGTCTGAGATATGGGTATGCATTCCCTGATTTGATAATTACACATGGCATACATGTAATGAAATATCACACTATACCCTATAAATATGTATAATTATGTCAATAATAAGGATTAATTATACCTATTTCATTGTTTTTTGTATTAAATAAGTTAAAGTGCTTAAACAGTAACAGTTCAATTTGTAATATGTATTAAAGCCATCATTGTCATCATTACTATTTCTATTCATTAATTTACACATATAGTCAGTATAAAACTATTTTGTTAGTTTTCAATTTATATGCATATCAAACATTAAATACAAGAAAGATTATTATCAATTTTATCTTTCAAATTGGAATGCAGTATCAGTTAATCTAAAACACTAATTCCTGAAGTTTTGTTATTTTAAAACACTTGTTGTTTCACCTTTCCAGCAAGTCCTACAGGATATGCTGATTTTTTTTAATTGAGATAAGTTAAGTTGAATTTCACTTTTCAGAATTTTATGACACTCAGGAAGATGACAGCTAAGGCTCATAATTATCACTGTTCTTACAATACACACAGTTCTACTGGTATTTTAAACATGTTTATAAATCCTCAATTTCAACCTAGGATGGGAGTATATATCACATTTAGCTTAGGTTTGTTAGGTGAACAGAGTCTGATACTCCATTTGGACATTAGGGGGCACTGCCCGCAAGTTGAGAACCACTGTCAAAGGAAGTCACTGTTAATAACAGGAGTATCCTGGATATATGTATCCAGGATATAAGTACATCCAGATATAAGTACCATACCACCATCTGGAGTAGGAAAAAAAAGTCACTAGCCTAAACTGAACCTTTCCAAAGGAACATTCATTTCTTCAGTCATGTCACAAGGTACTTTAAGAAAAAGACAAGTGACTTCAAATTGTAAAATTTTCATGACAAAAAATGCCATCTTTCCTGGAAGATTGTGCATATCCTTTTATCTTTACAGTTTTCCACTCAACTTCTTAGGCCACGCTGTTTATTACCTCTATAGTTAGTCCCTCATTTCTGATTCCTGCAGCTGGGAACCTCTTGTACAAAATAGCTCCCACACACTGGTGAATGTATGCTGGCCATAAGGTAACTTGGATGCTTATAATGGTTAATAATGTTTAGTTTAGAAGAATAAATCAATTTGTACTTTGCATTGATTTCTCACATTCATAGAAATACCAATAAATGCATTTTGTTCTATAGAAAATATGGCATACTTGTTCCACTACATCTTTTTTCAGCATCCACTCAGTATAAGGAAAATGTTCCATGGGGCTGCTCTAACTACTTGCTTTGCCTATTTGTAAAAACGAATTTGAATTAGTTTGGGCAAATGGGCTTTTGGTGGTTGCTCTGCTCAATTTTGCTTGATTTTTCCTACGGTGCAGAGCTCCGTTAGTGATTTTCAAGTCTAAGCCCTCAAGGTTATTATTCATTCCTTTTAATGGAAAATATGATTTAAATAAAATTCGTAAGGAAATGATAGGCTGGCCAGAAGCTACATGCAGCCAGGGGGGATGCACTGCATTATACAGAATGGCCAATCCATAGCATAAACAAACAAATAGAAAGTCTTTATGTATACTGACTTAAGAAAATAAGTCACTTAAGTTTTAGAGTGACAACCATGGAAACTCATCCTGCTTACGATTGATACTATAGTGATCTGGAATTAAATACTGAAGCAGTAAGACTAAATCACATATAAAACTTACTACCTTGTCGTATGTTAGGGCACAACTACTATGAAATGACAAAAAATTTCTTCCCACTGCAAACATACTGTTCTGATAAAAATGCATTTATTGAGCAACTAGTAGTTGGGGCATCTTCTGCTAGGAGATTTAGCACAATATGTCATTTAATATTCACAAGTAAGTATCTTATATACTTTGCATTTACTTAAGAGGAACCTGAAACTTAGAAAGTTTAACATATCCAGGATCAGCTCTGAGTATATGTTAAAATCACTGTTTGAACTCAAATGGATGTGACTTGAATGCATTAGCCACTTCAGTAATATAAAGAGTATAATAGATCTTAATCATTTTCATTAAAATGTCATCTTTTAGGACAGTGTGTTATAGGAATAACACTGGTTTTGGAACCAGAACACTGTTGGAAATTTGGATCTACCAACTTAGGACCTAAATAACTTTCCAAAAGTTATTTAATTTTGACATGAGGCTTCAATTTCCTTATCTGTAAATAATTATGACTAGTATTTTTAGGAAGATAGGAAGTAATATGGGAACACAGTGAAAATTCATCCCGGTGTGGTGAGTGAGGTCTTTGGAGAGGATTTTGTGACACGCTATCCATTGAGAAATTTCGAAGTCCAGGATTTCAATCAGCACAGATGAGGAGGAAGAGCATTCCAGGTAAAATGATGAGTGAAAATAAAAGCAAGAACCATGGAAATGTGTGACGGGAAGCTAATTTGTTAAGTACAGTGTGTTTGTCTGTTTCTGTCTGTACGTAGCTAAAGTAGAGCCTGGAGTCAGGTCATGGAGAATCTTAAATGTCATATTTAGGTATTCATGTGAAGAATTTTAGAGTCCGACATTTTAGGATTAAATCCTGGTCCACTTCTCAGTAGCTACGTGACTGGGCAAGAGGAACTGAGCTCGCTCCATTTCCTTTTTTATAAAATGCAGTAATCAAAGTACCTGTTACATGAAGTTAATTAAGGACTGAGTGATATAATGCTATAAGTCTTAGCCTGCCTAGCACATGAAACACTAAAGGATTAAATATCATTATATGAAAATGTATTTAATAATAAAGCCCCACCTACTACCCCTAATTTTCTGCTGAACCCCCTCAGCTACCTACCATTATTTGCAACCTTACTGTTTCGTTTGTCCACTTGAGAAATCTGGAATTTCAACTGTGTGGTGTGTGTAAACTGGATTTCCTTCAAATAGTGAGAAATGGAAAGCAGAGAAAAGGTAAGAGAGCCTAAAATAGACTCTATTTAGACAATTGGTTTACAGTTGTTTTCTGACCATGGGAAGATTGAAAATGCTATCCCGCATGTATACTTGCAACCCTAGTATTCTAAATAGTCAATCATGTTTCTCTCCTTTAAAATTTGCTTTAAAAACTTTTTAGTGACTGGTAGAACCTGGAAAACTCTGGTGGTGGAATGTTTAGTCTTATTCAAGGTGAGAGAGGAGGTGCCAATTCTTTTACACAATGTGAATGTAAATAATCAATGTGATACGTAAAGGAACAAACACCATTTGGAAACGTCTATGAAATTAGAAAAGAGTATATCAAATCTCTAACTCAATGTAGGAATGTAAGTGAAGATGTCACTGTCATTCAGGGTGCTGTAAATTTCCTAGGGATGTTTTAATTTATTGTTCAGTAAATGTTAAGACCTCACTATTCCTCCATTGGGCTTTATGTGGCAGAATCCCTTGAGTGTTCACCTATATCCCCAGGTGTGTTCAAAATCTTTGGGATCCCATTGTTACTTTATGATGACAGACTGCTCTCAAGGATTGTGACTTTCAAATAAAAACTACATAATTATACTAATAGACCTATGCTATTGATAAGTAACAAAGTACTTTATTACTTCATCTGAGACTCACAACATCATGGGAGGAGCAAAGATGAGTGAATTTAGAGTCTACAGATAATGAAACAAAGACAAATTTTTTTACTTGTTAAAGATGTGAGTGACAAAATTATAGTTTCATAGATCATTTGGGTCCTATCACAATACTCTGTTCATCTGTTGAGTGCTTAGTTTTGTGTTCAAGGATAATTTTTATTTTATGAATGCAAATAAGTTGTCACTAACATAATCTATTGGTTTTCTTAAAGGAAAACTTAATGATTAATCTATTGGTTTTCTTAAAGGAAACCTTAATGACGTGAGCAATCTTAGCTACTTCCTACTGAAGAAAGTAATACCAAGCTTCTCTTACACGTCATTTATATGAAACTATGAGATACGACGTTGCCTCTGCTAACCTGGTAAAAATGCATTGAAACAGCAACATAACACATTCTAAAGACTTCAAATTCATACTTCCATGCAGTAATTTGATTTTTTTGAAACTGTGAACAGATACTATGGAGAGCTTTAAAATAAAGTATAATTACTTAGATCTATAATTATACTGATGAGGTTAAGGTGAATAATCATGTGTCCAATTATGAAAAAAAAAAACACAATAAGCTTCTTAAATGACCATATCACCAGGTTCTTTTTCTTAGCTGCTCTTAACCTAATCATTTATGTGAGTGTAATTTTTACTGTATCAAGTATTGTAGGTTAAAAAGCTTACATCATAGTCAGTTATCTTTTTTAAAAAAACATTTTATAAAAGTTTTTAAAGTTAATTTTGCAGACTAATGAATATTTTTGATCTTTATCAACATTACTCTTTACCTTATCACACTAACAGATTATATTATTACTTCCTTAAGTTATTTCAAGCATTTCTTTTTTTTGTGGTTCTTTTGTCTAAAAGAAGTTCTATTTCAGGAATGTATTTTATATGTATTATCTGACTTAATCTTCATAGTTCTATTTATCCCCCAAAACACTGAAATCTAGAAAGCTTATAAGCTATCATAGCGGAAAAGTCAGAATTAGAACCAAATTCTATATAATCCCTGAGAGAGCAGGAGCACTGTCATCTCGGACAAATGCTGCCACTCTAAGTTCCCGCCCCCTTTCTAGCCTCATGCATTTTAAGGCAATTACTTCTCTTCAAACTACAAGCAACCAGAAAGAGCAGAGAGTTAAAGACAGATAAGACATTTCAGGCACATAGGGAGCAAGTCTCTTGGGTAACTGCCAAACTTTAGTCTTATACAATGGACCCCAGAAAAACAGTGGGCCTTAAGAAGTGCATTCTTTTTCCTTACGGTGCAGTAAGGAAGCTAAAAGCAGATATGGGAGCTACACCTGCAGAAAGATGTATGGAAACAGACACACAGTTCTTCCTCCCGCTCCCAGACAAACACAACAAAGAGAGACAGAAGCAGTCCAAGCCTCTGATAAACGCTTCCACCCTGATTCCTTAAAAACTGTTAGTCTGTAAGAGTGTGTGGCTTCTGACCTAACCCAGTCAGAAGTCCCTCCCAGGTTTGAAATAAGCCTGTTGACTCTAGAGCCACCCTGGTGTTTCTTTCCTTTCTTTAATTCTTACAATCCCAAATTATTTTCTCTAATGATTGTATTATGGGTGAATATATGTTACTATTTAGGAAGTAATAATAAAGTTCATTGTTTGCTCTCTTAAAATTTTGATAAAATGTGCTTAAATGGACTGAGACCTTCTTCCTTTTCTGATCCAAAAAGATAAACTTCATAGCTTTTTTTCCATTCTGACATCCTAAAAAATCTGGAAATCCTATGCAACTATTTAGTTCATTAATAACTTGCTTTCAATTATAAATGTTAACTATGTTTAATTATGGATTGTTTATATTCACTCCCAAAATAATAGGCTTTAGTTATTTTTCTTAATTCTAAAATTTTCTACATGTAGGTATAGTTTTTTTTAATGTATGACATATTTTAGAATCGATTTCCCTATTTTTTCTAACCATAATCTATGAGGAAAGTATGAAAATGCAAAGTTTTTTGGTACATTTTTACTAAATTTATTTACTCTGAATATCTATCAGATTAAAATATTTAGTTTTTGTTGAGACAAAAAAATAGATAAGCATCATTTAAAAGTCTGTTATATTTCTACCTTCTCATTTTGTTAAAGATCCCAATGACATTTTCTAGCAATAGTAAAGTAGGAAAAGGTTTAGTTTCTTACCTGAACAATGTCTCTTTCAGCATATTTTCCTCTAGAGGAGACTCTTACATCATCTCCATCCAATTCAACCATTGCTGGAAGAGAAAATATGATCATTTATTCAGTACATTTTAGCCAAATACTAAAACGATGTGGACAATAAGGAAATCACTATCTATGAAGTAGCAAAATGTCCTACGAAAAGACAGAGAGCATGTTCATCCCTTCATCTCTACATTCCTCACACAGAACTTGACTAAGTGTGTATTTTACAGATAAAGAAAGTGAGCCAAGATCTTGTGTGACCCTTTGAAAGGACAGCAGAGCTAGTCATTGTGAAACTGTCTCTGGGTCTGTCTCTCCATGCTACCAGTTCTAAACTTCCAGTTATATGCTTACACGACTGATTAAGCAAGGGATGTTAATCCATCAAATTTTAACTTTTCTAGTTTAAGAAACTTGGCCTTGGCCGGGCGCGGTGGCTCAAGCCTGTAATCCCAGCACTTTGGGAGGCCGAGGCGGGTGGATCTTGAGGTCGAGAGATCGAGACCATCCTGGTCAACATGGTGAAACCCCGTCTCTACTAAAAATACAAAAAAAATTAGCTGGGCGTGGTGGTGCGTGCCTGTAATCCCAGCTACTCAGGAGGCTGAGGCAGGAGAACTGCCTGAACCCAGGAGGCGGAGGTTGCGGTGAGCCGAGATCGCGCCATTGCACTCCAGCCTGGGTAACAAGAGCGAAACTCCGTCTCAAAAAAAAAAAAAAAAAAAAAAAAAAGAAACTTGGCCTTAATAATCATAGAATTTTCAATTACATGTTGAATTTTATTTTCATTGAAACTGTCACAAAGCTGCGTGTGCACACACAGACGCTGCTCAATTTTTTTTTCTCTGCTCTTACACTCATTGGATAAAGTATGCTTTTTCTGATGGATAATATTTTTGTTAATTAAGAAATAATGTCAGCATTTCCTAGATCAGCTGATATTTGGAAATGCTGCAATATAATGGGGCAGCTAGTGATACAGTAATGACGTGCTGTAATTAGGAACATTTCCTATAGGTTACTTTCAGTGAGAATTCTCTAAATAATTAATTACATGAGGAATACTAATTTGTGCTTAAAGTATAATTCCATTACTGATAATTTATTTTGTACACACTTGACATTCACCAGACTCCAGAGAGCCACTTAACAATTATAATTTTGGCCTCATCACCTCTGTCCTCAGCCTCAATACAGCTCAGTCAGCATACAGTCCTCACTTCTTTACGCTTCTCTTCAGTGCTGAATGTATTTGGGCTAAAAACATTGTTTTCAATTTTACCTTTTTACACATGTTCATAAGTCAATGCTTGCCCTGAAATACTACTAGTATTCATAATTAACAGAGAGCTACTTTTCAATAATTTGCCAAGATGTATAATATATATAATTATGTAACATATGTATATTACTAATAAGATAATTATTTCAACACAAAAGCCATTTTTTAATCTCCCCCACTTCTTGAATATGTAAACATAATTCATTATTTCCAATATTTTTAGTAATTCCTTTTAAATGTAAATTTGCCTTTACATTTTTCACATTACTTTGGGACATAAATATACACCAATGGTAATATCCAGTGGTCACAGACACTTTTCCATTATTCTCTAATGTTAATAACTTATAACAATTCCCATTTTATGCTAAAATGGGAAACAAGGATTAGATGATAATCTAGATCTCACATTCCTCAGTTCTCTACAACCCCCATTGGTTTTTGTGAGTGTTTCATTCCTATTAATGGAGAAAAGGACAGTCATTCAGGCAATACTGTATTAGCATGAGGTCCTATAAATATGTCCCACTTTTCAGCATGTCCTTTGGTTTAAAACACTGTAGACAGCAAGAAGCAGAGGCTATGCTTTTGAGAACAAGAAGACAGATGGTGTGTAAGTGGTGGATGGATCAGGTCTACTCCAGGTTTGCAGACCATCTGGTCCTCAGGCACATGAAGATGATCAACTCTTACCTCTTCCTGTAAAGGTGTATGAGAGACAGATCTGCATTTCTTTCTAGCCATGGAAGGCACGATGAAGTTAGAAACCCTTCATTTATCCCCTTTGTCTAACTCAGATCAAATAATGAGATGCTGCTTTAATTTGACTTTTTGATTGCCTTTTAGGTATAAAGAAATCTTGCCTTGAGAAATCTTTATTCGTAATAAGGGTTCTTCTTTAGGAGTGAAAACAAAGTCATTAATATTTTTGTACTCATTATGTTCAAATATTCTCAGTAATTTACTTTGGGGTGTAAATATGCACCAATGAGGAAAATTATGTAGTTTTTAAATGGTCTTAACAACATACAGAGTTAAATTTAAATACTCAAGATTTCATTCTTATTTCCTCTACCTTCAAAGGACAGATGGCAAAATACTGTATTTCTTGCCCATGGAAACAATGTCTTCCAGATTAAAAAATGTGCAGATGTTGGATTTATGTGGTTAGCTCAAGAAATCTGTGATATAGTTTGGCTCTGTGTCCCCACCCAAATCTCATCTCAAATTGTGATTCCCGTGTATTAAGGGAGGGACCTGTAAGCACCACATGTTGAGGGAAGGAAGTGATTGGATTATAGGGGTTGTTCCCCCATGCTGTTCTCATGACAGTCAATGAATTCTCACAAGTTCTTATGGTTTTATAAATGGCAGTCTTTCTTTCCCTCTCACATGCTCTTCCTCTCTCTGCTGCCACCATGTGAGATGTGTCTGTTTCCCCTTTCACCATGATTGTAAGCTTTCTGATGCCTCCCTAGCCATGTGGAACTGTGAGTCAATTAAGCCTCTCTCCTTTATAAATGACCCAGTCTCAGGTATTTATTTATAGCAGTGTGAAAATGGACTAATACAGTTTGCAAGTTGGATTTTGGGCAGTCAGTTTATATGTGTGATACATACACTTACTCTAGAGTAGATTTGGAAGTGCCATGAGAGGCTCCTCTAATAGGAGAGCAGCAATTTGTCTAGTCAGAGATTTCTCTCTATTAAACATGAGTATTCTCTCATTTTCTTTTTAGCCATGAAGAGGTATGTTTTGAAAGGAAAAAAAACTACTTTAGAGAAGCATCTATTGTCCCCAGGCAGAATAATCTACTTTTCTAGTACCTGACCTGAAAGTTTTTGTGTCTCATTAAAACTTCCATCATGGTGAAAAAAGAAACTAGTTGTTACAGGAGTCTAATATCCTGTTCCTATGTTTCCAGAAGAAAATTTCACTCTAATTTCTGGGAAAGCAACATCCCTTTTTATCTACAATTTTCATTCACCTTTCTGCATGAAAAGAGGAACAATTTATAGGGTTACTAAGATTAGAAGAAATAACTGAGCTTGAATCACTCCCATTTGGCACAGCATTATCCTGAGAATGAGTGTAATTTCTCTCTGGCATGCTTAATAGGCAAAACTCGACTTCTATAAAGAGAAGTCCAGGAGATAAGAGAGATAATTTAATCTTTGGGGGAAAAAGTGATGAGAATGTGATTGTCCACACGTTAACCCAATGCTCTCAAATTCTGCATTGGTAGTAATAAAGCTGATAGATTGATCAGAATGATACTTGCATATGTTTTTTCCAGTTAGTTCAGGACCTGAGAAAGAGAAATGATGAATTATCATACCTTAAAAGCCTAACAAATTTACTGAGAACTAAAGAAAGGAAGAAAATAAATAGCTGTTGCTATTGGATGAGGGCAGCAGCCAAACAGCTGTGTCTGCTACTCTGTATAGAAATACACACCAGGAAGGGTCAGTGGCTTTGCATTTATGAATCAGGTGTTTGGACTCTCAAAAAAGGAGAATTGATTGAGGTTCACCATCTCTGAGGTGATATGCCTAATGGTGGACTTCCATAGGAGTCTGAGAGACCTGAAACATACCCATGAAAGATACATCCTTCAAAATTCCTGGACACTTACACACTCCCAAGACAAAACTAGGAAGAAGTTGAATCCCTGAATAGATAAGTAAGAAGGTCTGAAATTGAGGCAGCAAGTAATAGCCTGCTAACCAACAAAAGTCCAGGACCTGACAAGTTCACAGCCGAATTCTACCAGAGGTACAAAGAGAAGCTGGTACCATTCCTTCTGAAACTATTCCAAACAATACAAAAATAGGGAGTCCTCCCTAACTCATTTTATGAGACCAACATCATCCTGATATCAAAACCTGGCAGAAACACAACTAAAGAAAATTTCAGGCCAATATCCATTTTGAACATTGATGTGAAAATCCTCAATAAAATAATGGTAAAGCAAATCAAACAAACAGCACATCATAAAGCTTATCCACCACGATCAGGTCGGCTTCATCCCCGGGATGAAAGGCTAGTTCAAAATACGCAAATCTATAAATGTAATATATCACATAAACAGAACCAAAACAAAAACCACATGATTATATCAACAGACACAGAGAAGGCCTTTGACAAAATTCAACAAACCTTCATGCTAAAAACTCTCAGTAAACTAGCTACTTGGGAGGCTGAGCCAGGAGAATTGCTTGAACCCAGGAGGCAGAGGTTGCGGTAAGCTGAGATCACACCATTGCACTCCAGCCTGGGTAACAACAGTGAAACTCCATCTCAAAAAAAAAAAAAAAAAAAAGAAATTATCATTACAGTGAACTAGGAAACAGAAGCATGGGAAAGAAATTTTGCTATCTACCCATCTGACAAAGGGCTAATATCCAGAATCTACAAAGAACTTAAACAAATTTACAAAAATAACCCCATCAAAAAGTGGGAGAAGGATATGAACAGACATTTCTCAAAAGACGACATTTATGCAGCCAACAAACATATGAAAGAAAGCTCATCATCACTGGTCATTAGAGAAATGCAAATCAAAAGCACATTGAGATACCATCTCATGCCTGTTAGAATGGTGATCATTAAAAAATCTGGAGACAACAGATGCTAGGGAGGATGTGGAGAAATGGGAACACTTTCACACTGTTGGTGGGAGTGTAAATTAGTTCAACCATTGTGGAAGACAGTGTGGCGATTCCTCAAGGACCTAAAAATAGAAATCCCATTTGACCCAGCAATCCCATTACTGCGTATATACCCTAAGTATTATAAATCATTCTATTATAAAGACACATGCACATGTATGTTTACTGGGACACTGTTCACAATAGCGAAGACTCGGAACCAACCCAAATGCCCATCAATGATAGACTGAATAAAGACAATGTCACATATACACCATGGAATCCTATGCAGCCATTAAAAAGGATGAGTTCACGTTCTTTGTAGGGACATGGATTAAAACTGGAAACCATCATTCTCAGCAAACTAACACAAGAACAGAAAACCAGACCCTGCATGTTCTCATTCATTGAGTGCTGAACAATGAAAACACATGGACACAGGGAGGGGAACATCACACACTGGGTCTTGTCGGGGCATAGGGGAATAGCATTAGGAGAAATGCCTGATGTAGATGACAGGGTGGTGGATGCAGCAAACCACCATGACATGTGTATACCTATGTAACAAACCTGCATGTTCTGCACATGTGCCCTAGAACTTAAAGTATAATAAACAAAAAAAGATACATCTTTCAAAGGCAAAAACAAATAGGTAGCCAAAGAAGAAAGCATGAGTTATTTTAGCCACCAACTGGTGAAGTTTGTGAATCACAGTCTATCACTAATTAATGCAGATTGTCAAGTGCACGAAGCATTGACAGGAAAGGTATCTTAGCCTTCCTGTCCCCAGAAAAGTGTCTGAAATTAATGCCTGAAGTGCAACTCAAGCAGATGCAAATAGAGATAGAGAAAATATCAGCAGAATCGGTGTCAGTGAGGGATAAATGACTTCTGCCTTTGAAACTCTAAGATGATAATGCTAGAAAGGATGACCAGCCAAGCACAGAATCTAGGGAGTCCAGGGTCAGCAATACAACTTGCCTGTGGTGCTTTATCTGGGATGGACAGATCTGTATTATCCTTATTGAGGAGAGACTAGTGATTAAATACGTATCACCCCAGTGATAATTATACTCTAGGTAGCCACCGATGTGCCCAAGCTAACCAGTAACTTACCAAAGATTGTTTCAAACATTCTCAAAGCATTCTCATTTCCAAAGCCTCAAGCTACATAAGCTGCCATTATTAATATTAAAATCACCTGAACCAGGTGAATGTTACATGGCTGTGCACTTGCTGTCTAGCACAGAGTTCTGCTTTTGGTCTTGAATTTCATTTATTCAGAAAATATAACTTAAGTGAGTCAAAACATGGGTATATGATAAAGAGGAATTTACGTGTCTCCAGAAGAAAAGATTGCAAGGGAAATAGTGTTGTTTCTTTTTTGTTGTTAAAGGCTCTGTGATTTTTTTTTTTTTTTGGTAATTGTACTTTAGGCTCTCTTAAAGGAATTTATCAGATGACTAGGAACACACTATCCTTTAAAAGATTTACCTGGATCACGTGTTACACAAGCATTGCCTCCTAATTGGCATTTGAACAAGGCCAGACCTGAATAAAAACCTACCCAGCATGCCAATGCTGGTCAGCTCCATTTTCATTTTACTTTGCTCTTCCACATGACAAAACTTCTTCATTTACAAGGCTAATGTCTGTCAACTAGCTAGGGCCTGAAAACCCTTTAAATTAGCATATTATGCTTATGTTAACATTTCTTTTCACAACCTAATGATTTATTAATTTAGCATTCATCCTTGAAGGGTTTTAGTGAACCCAGAGTGTGTTTTGCCTTGGGAACAAAAACTCAATTTATCACTCTGTCAGTCTTAGGAAATACTATTTTGAGTACAAACTAGCTCTAATGAAATGGAAAGCTACATGTTGAAATAATCTATAAACTAGAGAGATAATATCCTAGTCAAAAGACAGGATCTTTTAATTGGCACACCTTAATAGACACAATCACAAGCTATCTATATATATGTCTCTATATGGACACATGAACATTATATACAAACCCAAATACAGTCACATCCTTCTACAGAGACAAGAATGGCAGAAACCTAAGAGCATGTCACATCAGATTAAATTCCCAAGGAGTATTATTAAAATTTTACTACTCACCATCAAATTCTGCTGGTCCAACACCTACTATAATTATTGACATTGGAAGTTTTGAGGCCTTCAAAGAGAATACACAATTAGATTTCAATTAAGAAACTGAGTTCTTAAGAAAATAATTAAAGACCAGGCATAACAACTCACACTTGAAATCCCAGAACCTTAGGAGGCCAAAGGAAGAGGACTGCTTGAGACCAGGAGTTTGACACCAGCCTGAGCAACATAGCAAGACCCCATCTGTACCAAAAAAGAATTAGCCAGATGTGGTGGTGTGTGCCTGAGGTCCTAGCTACTTGAGTTTGAGGTGAGAGGATCACCTGGGCCTAGGAGTTCAAGGCTGCAGTAAGCTATGATCATGCCACTGCACTCCAGCCTGGGCAACAGGGTGAGATCCCGTCTGAAAAAAAAAATTGAAAAAGGAATAATAAGCAAATATAGCTGGAATTTTATTTAATATTTTTTCACAGCTGTTAAAATGTGAGCACAGTCAAAATGATTAATACAGAATAGTATACTTGATTCCATTCTTATCCTTTCCAAACTCTCTGTACACATTAATCCTGAGGGACATTATTCAGAGAGAACCAGCCCTGGGTAAGATCAAATAAAAGGTAAGGAGCATCTACTTCCACTTGCTACTCTCAGAAAAAAACTTCTAAGCTGGCTTTGGGTATCTTTGTCTTCTTTTCGTGTTCTTTCTCTTCCAAAAATATTTCCATTGCTAAAGGGGGAAAGTGGTACCCTAATCTACCTCATTTATACCCAAGGTTAGAAAAAGCAATTTTCACAGTGAGTGAGCAAACAAAAATGATCATTATAGAAAGTTGGTAGTTTATGCACTAAATATCCTTGAGATTTTGAGGGAGACTAAATACTTCATGTTTTTCCATAAAACGTATCACATACCATCACTTAAATAATTTAATGGTAAGACTGTGAGATAGATCCAGCAACAGACACATAGAACACTACAACAACCACATCTTTCTCTATGAAGGTCACTGAATTATGGCTATTTCTCAGGGCATCATGTCCTCTTAGTTAAGCCTAAATTACTAAGGCCATATTTTAAAATGCGTATCAATGCAATTCATTCCTGCAGCCTATTTCATCAAATGCGTACTTCACGCCAAACACTTCTAAACCTAGAGACTGGTGAGTAAAAACTATTACTTTACAGATTATCATCTAGTAAATATAGATTTTATAGATTAGTAAACAATCTAACCCTAAAAAACCAAACACACAATTAGGAATTATAATGAGCAGGATGGTTTTTTAATCAGTTACTATCCAGTTCTACAGAAACAGCAATTAGCTATTTTAGTTCTCCTCCAACTAGAATGCAAATATTAAGAAATAATCTATACAAATCACAAGATTGTATACAAATAGATCAAACTAACAGAGGTAAACACACCCATGCCTGTGAAAGTTATGCTATTTATTTATTTTTCTTTAGGCAAGATTTTTTTTTTTTAACTCAAATAGTCATATCCCTTAGCTTGGTCCCCATGGATCAATGGTACAGATGTATATGCATAGTCTGGATAAGGTTAAGAATGCAATCTGCCTCAAAGGTGTAGGGATTTTATTTTATTGTTAACTAAAATAGACTCTAGTCTCTAAGTAGCATCATGTTGTCACGTAGTCTGCCCAATACTGAGTGACCCCACTTACGTTAACTATGGACTCCTTAGTCTGGGCCATATCTGAGATAACACCATCTGTAACAATCAGAAGCACAAAATACTGGGAGCCATCCTTTACAGAAGAAGCATATCTGAAAGGCAACAAAAAGGTAGGGAAAGTAAAACAGTTTCTATATGTGATGGTTGGTAATACAATTTGGAAAAGTTACCTTTTTTTTTTTTTTTAATTAAAGGCTTTGTTACTTTAAGGTGATGCCGAAATCAAGTAGGAGGGGTTCAAGATATATATATATATATTTTGAGACAGAGTCTAGCTCTGTCACCCAAGCTGGAGTATAGTGGCGCAATCTCAGCTCACTGCAACCTCTGACTCCTGGGTCCAAGTGATTTTCCTGCCCCAGCCTCCTGAGTAGCTGAGATTACAGGCCCCTGCCGCCAAGCCCAGCTAATTTTTGTATCTTTATCAGAGACGGGGTTTCACTGTGTTGGCCAGAACGGTCTCGAACTCCTGACCTCATGATCCGCCCGCCTCAGCCTCCCAGCCACCGTGCCTGGCCACACATTTTAATCTCAATAAAATATCTGAACATGTTAGAATTATATCTTATGCAAATTCTCAAATACACAATTATCTGAAATAACACACTAGAATAACTGCAATGTCAGTGCCTGCTGCTAAAAAAGCTATTGCTTTGATGGTGCTTGTTCTACATGTTGGCACACTGTTGCACTTTGCAAGTAAATCTACATTTTAAATCAATGTTGCACTACCATTTATTCTTCTAATTTAGCCTTTTATTTTAAAGTACTGCCATTTCTTCTAATTTAGTTTTTAATTTAAAAAATATATAAAATAATTAACATGCTACAGAAATGGGTGAACTAAAAATTACAAGCTGGCCACACCTCAGTACTTTTTCTAGGAGGTGACACTGACATATAGACTCAGATTCAAATTATATTATAAAGGTATTAGCGAGGCTTGCTTCTTAAAAGAACTTGATGGGGAGTCCTTTTATAGATTGCATAATTAAGTCTTATTATTAAAAGCCAGCTGTCTTTTTTGAAATATAGCCTATCTATAATTTATATCTTAATATTACTATGATATATCTGAGAGAGAGGTTAACTTTGTCAGTGTAGTAGAATTCAAACACATTTCTTTTGCATTTCTTTGAAATAAGTTTCTGGGATTGTTTTTGTAAAAGCTCATATCTAGTTGGCTCAGATTCGTGGAATATTCTTTCAGCTTATTATTAGTTCACAAGAATAGAGAGGGCAAGAAAACAAGATAAACTGAATTAGGGATGTTTCATTTAAGTAGTTCAATTATGATTTACACAATGTTTTAAAACTTAACAATGAATAAAGGAATGTATTTAAATATTTCAACCCAAAGTAGCACAGCAAATTTTATGTTACCAAGTGTCACCCCAAACTACTTTTGACTGGGCAATGAAGGGATCACTGCATGCACAAAGATAGAGAGCTTTGTTACACTTTCTTCTGTGTCTTTACCTCTACAGCAGAGATAAAAAGGCTTAACGACGGAGGGCATCATAACACAGTGATCTGGAGTAAGATTATTCTGGTTAGAATTTTAGCTCCACCACAAATGACCCCTATGTATCTATTTTATCATCAGCAAAATGGAAATGGCACTACTGTCACCTCTTAGAGTTGTGAAGATGAATAATCCACATTATAGCATTGTACACGTTGCTAAAGATAGATCATGGTCTCCATAAGATTTTACTGTTTTTATTTTATTATTAATTGTGCAGATTGAATAAAGCATAACACAGGAGTGAATTTGAAAATTAGTTATGAGAATTCCAAGATAAAAAGTTATTTCCTAAAAAATAAAAATTCATTTTGGATAGTGATCTGGATTTAGAAGGTTCTCAATATCAGAAAAAAACAGAAAAAAATTACAAATGGCCAAAAGGTAGAAAATGATGAATCCCCCGTAAAAACTGAAATGTGACAGCCTCAAAACAAGTACCTAATTAGGCATAGGAAGCAAAAAACTAATAGGAAATAATGAATACATTTAAATCAAATGAAGACATTTTCATGACTGAAAAGATTTGAAATTTTCATTGGTATATTAATTTTTGAAATATTAAGCTGGTATAATATACCAGCACATTTATTTTAAATTACTTAAAATTATGGATGAAGAATTCTAGATGAATAGAAATTTTTTTTTAAAAAATAACAGGAATGTAAAAAGGTTAACACCATACACAAGAGGAAAACAGACTAATCGGGTTGGTTAAAACCCCATTTTTCAAACTGCAGTCCACAAAACCATTATTTTAAAAATATTTTTCTATTTTAACAATATTTAAACGTAGTGTTATAGACATTAGACATAGTATTCATTTTAAATCTGGAAGGCCCTAAAATTCTTGCTAAGAATTTAAATTTGTTGTCTATTTACAACATGATGGCAATGTGTTTGTTTTGGTCAGAAGGATGATAATGCTTATGTGTCAATTAGACTGTAAATCCCACTTATTTAATCAAAGATTATATATGTGGTTAATATCTACCATCGAATGTCTTTAAAGAAGCTTCATCCAATTAGTTGAAGGCCTTAAAAGCAAAAACTGGTTTCCCAGAAAAAAAGGATACTGACATAAGACTGCAGTATGAAATCCTGAGTTTCCAATCTACCAACCTGTCCTATAAATTACATTCTTGCTATCCCTTACAATTGCACAAGCCAATTCCTTAAAATATATCTCTATATCTTTATGTCGATGTTTATATTTCTCCTACTGGTTCTGTTCTCTGGAGAACCCTGGCTGATATATTAGGTGTTAATCACAATCACATTTCCACAGGTCATTAAGATTGATTAAGCATTATCATTTAAAAGGGTCTTTAGGCCAGGCCCAGTGGCTCAAACCAGTAATCCCAGCATGTAGGAAGCTGAGGCGGGTGGATCACTTGAGCCAGGAGTTGGAGACCAACCAGCCTGGCCAACATGATGAAACCCCCTCTCTACTAAAAATACAAAAATTAGCTGGGCATGGTGGTGCATGCCTGTAATCCCAGCTATTCAGGAGGCTGAGGCATGAGAATTGCTTGAGCCCTGAAGGTGGAGGTTGCAGTGAGCTGAGATTGCATCCCTGCATTCTAGCCTGGGTGACAGAGACTGTCTCAAAAACAAAAAAAGGTTCTTTAGTTTCTTATTATAACTTTGTTAACTAAAATGAACTTGGCCAGGCACAGTGGCTTATACCTATAATTCCAGCACTTTGGGAGGCCAAGGTAGGTGGATCATCTGAGGTCGAGAGCTCAAGATGACATTGGCCAACGTGGCAAAACCTGTCTCTACTAAATATACAAAAGTTGGCTGGGCATGGTGGCAGGCATCTGTAAGCCCAGCTACTCGGGAGGCTGAGGCAGAAGAACTGCTTGTTGAACCCAGGAGGCAAAGTTGCAGTGACCGGAGATGTGCCACTGCACTCCAGCCTGGGCGACAGAGCAAACAAACAAAAAAAACCTTCATATAGTATTCAGATAATTTAATTAAACAGGGACAGATATCTCATATATCCAAAGTATTCTGGTTTATATTTGTATATGCATATACGTGCATGTGTATGAATAATTCACAAGGAATAATCACTCCCTTCAGTGTGGAAAAGATCCACATGTAACCACAGTAGTGTCAAATTAGTACTACACATACGCGAGGAATGATATAGGCCAGAAGAAGCAGTGAATCTGTGACTGAAGGGTAGTACATTTGGGAGAATGTAGAAATGAGGTTGGATGGGTTAGTACCGGTTGAATATTGGATGTTCTAGCAAGCAAGTTAAACCGTCTGCACTTAAATTTATGACAAGGCATCAACAGATGTTGAGTAGGATTTTACATCATTTGAAATGCTGCTCTCCAGATAGCTCTGGGAAAGGAGGACTGGAAAGGCAGGAAATCAGAAATAGGAGCTGGAAAGCCTCAAAAAGCATAGAAAACCTTCAAATTTTGTAAATTTAATGCTTTGAGTCTTGTCTATTTTACACCATAGTTATCTCATTAATATTATCTAGCAAGTCAAACAGATCAGAGATACATAGATATGAGTCCTAAAAATGAGCTTAAAACTGTTATTCTTAAGAAGAATAAGCATTCTTTAACATGCTTATTTGCAGACAACATGATTGTATATTTAGAAGACCCCACTGTCTCAGCTCAAAATCTCCTTAAGCTGATAAGCAACTTCAAAATTTCAGGATACAAAAATCACAAGCATTTCTATACACCAATAGTAGACAAACAGCCAAATCATGAGTGAATTCCCATTCACAATTGCTACAAAGAGAATAAAATACCTAGGAATACAACTAACAAGGGATGTGAAGGACCTCTTCAAGTAGAACTACAAACCACTGCTCAACGAAATAAGAGAGGACACAAACAGATGGAAAAACATTCCATGCTCATCCTTGGGAAGAATCGGTATCTTGAAAATGGCCATACTTCCCAAAGTAATTTATGGATTCTATGCTATCCCCCTCAAGCTACCATTGACTTTCTTCAAACAAGTGGGAAAAAAACCACCTTAAATTTCATATGGAACCAAAAAAGAGCCTGCATAGCCAAGACAATCCTAAGAAAAACAAAACAAAACTGGAGTCATCACACTACTTGACTTCAAACTACACTACAAGGCTACAGTAATGAAAACAGCATGGTATTGCTAACAAAACGGATATATAGACCAATGGAACAGAACAGAGGCCTTGGAAATAACACCACACACCTACAGCCATCTGGTATTTGATAAACTTGACAAAAACAAGCAATGGGGGAGGGATTCTCTAATAAATGGTGTTGGGAAAACTGGCTAGCCATATGCAGAAAGCTGAAACTGTATCCCTTCTTTACACCTTATATAAAAATTAACTCAAGATGGATTAAAAACCTAAATGTAAGATATAAAAAAAAACATAAAAACCCTAGAAGCAAACCTAGGCAATACCATTCAGGACATAGGCATGGGCAAAGACCCATGACTGAAACACCAAAAGCAATAGCAACAAAAGCCAAAATAGACAAATGGGATCTAATTAAACTAAAGAGCTTCACAGCAAAGGAAACTATCATCAAAGTGAACAGGCAACCTACAGAATGGGAGAAAATGTTTGCAATCTACCTATCTGAGAAAGGAGTAATATTCAGAATCTACAAATAAACAAATGTACAAGAAAAAAACCCCATCAAAAGTAGGAAAAGGATATGAACAGATACTTCTCAAAAGAAGACATTTATGCAGACAACAAACATATGAAAAAAAAAAAAAGCTCATCATCACTGGTCATTAGAGAAATGCAAATCAAAACCACAATGAGATACCATCTCATACCAGTTAGAATGGTGATCATTAAAAAGTCAGGAGACAACAGATGCTGGAGATGATGTGGAGAAATAGGAATGCTTTTACACTGTTGGTGGGAGTGTAAATTAGTTTAACTATTGTGAGAGACAGTGTGGCAATTCCTTAAGGCTCTAAAACTAGAAATACCATTTGACCCAGCAATCCCATTATTGGGTATATACTCAAAGGATTATAAACAGTTCTGTTATAAAGACACATGCACATGTATATTTATTGTGCCACTATACACAATAGCAAAGATTTTGAACCAACCAAAATGCCCATCAGTGATAGACTCGATAAAGAAAATGTGGCACATATACACCATGGAATACTATGCAGCCATAAAAAAGTCAAGATCATGTCCTTTGCAGGGAAATGGATGAATCTGGAAACCATAATGCTCAGCAAAGTAACACAAGAACAGAAAACCAAACAAACACCGCATGTTCTCACTCATAAGTTGATGTTGAACAATGAGCACACATGGACACAGGGAGGGGAACATCACACATTGGGATCTGTCGTGGGTTGGGGGGCTAGGGAAGGGATAGCTTTAGGAGAAATGGCTAATGCAGGTGATGGGGTGATGGATGCAGCCAGCTATTGTGGCATGTGTATACCCATGTAACAAAACTGCACATTTTGCACATATACCCTAGAACTTGAAGTATAATTTTAAAAAATAGATACATGGAACTTCCTATTGTACTGGAAGGAAAAGATAACTCTTAAGAAGCCATATCTTACTGTTTTTCTTAGTTTTTCTCATGTAAAAAATAATAAAGCATTATTGGATCATGGCTCATTTTCAAGCAGTCTTAAAGATTTGTACCAGCAGGTGCTCCTATATTCAAGAACTTACAAAATGCTGTATAAAACATAAAAAATGTCATAGAACACTGTGGAGCATTTGGTTTGAAATGTATATAGAAATGCACCTAGAAATTTTATATCTAATATTTAACTTTTATAATAGATATATACCAGGAAAAGTTATGAAATTACTTGGTAAGCACGGATAAGGACCTTCCTAATAATCAGCACAAGTTCCCACAAAATAAGTCCTGTCATTTTTCTCTTTTTATAAAAAAGTGATCTCTATGGTAGTTTGGCAGTTGATTATAATTTATCTTGCATTAATAATGTATTATATTCTGCTATATTTAACTGCCATCAGTATATAGTATACATGACATTACTTACATAGGCTAGTATAATAAGCTATATATCATTAGTGGATTATGAAATCAATTTTGGGGGTCAAGGTTGCATTTTTAAAAAAGAGAAATAGAAAAGAACAGGTGCCATAGAAATAAAGATAAAACATAAAGTACCATTTCATGAATAACTTTTTTTTTGGGGGGGACATATATGTACAAGATTAAGATGTATTAATGCAATTCGTATTTTAGTAGAGATTGCAGATGAAAATGTCTGAAAAATTCAAGCCAAAGGGTCACACTCAGACAACAGTCATCAATGTATCACTGTCAACCTGAGTTGGAGTTCCACGGGGAAGCTGCACTGGGGTAAGCCCTGGGTGTAAGGGATATTTTAGCATTTTGTCGATGTCCCAGATAATGAAAAGTAGAGCGCACTATAGTTGTTGGTAATATTCATTAGAGAAGGTGGTAAAGTACCAGAACCCTCAGAGAACTGGGGTTTCACATTGCCTTTATACTTGAGAAACTTGAAAAAAAAATTCGGTATTTTGATGAGTTATGGCTACATATTTGAAAGGATAAGAAATTTCTAATTATCTCTAAGTCAGGGAGTCATAGGATTTACATAGGCCAAATTTTCTAGGGATTTAAAAAGTGTTTAATCCATTTATGTACCAAGGAAAAAAGTAAGTACATATAGATTTATTTTTTACATTTTAACATTTTCTTCAGAATATGTACTTGGAGTCATAAGCATTATATTCTGGTCTCAGTACTATGTACTATATACAGGTAGAGCACTGGGAATTTATAAAATTAGCTACTATATTAATTTCAGAAAGGTTAAAATAATGTGCCCTATATATCACTGAAAGCTTCAAATAGCTAATAGAATTCAGTCTCTTACTATTTCTATGCTACTCATTGCTACATGGAATGTGATATTAGAGATGTATGACTTACGCAGTTGACCTCGCCATTGATCTTATTTTTCTCACAGATGCCTTTTCAAAGAAAACAACATTTTTCTTAGTTGAACAAAGATAGTTGCTAACATAACCCGGTGTATGTTTCTTGAGATTTTAATGTACTCTTCTCAGCAAAGTATCACAATAGTTTGATAGAAACTTTAACGTACATTTTTTCTTCACTTTCTTGGAGGCAAATTAAAAGAAAACAACTTTCATTTGTCAATTCATGCTAACAATAATGTTATGACTTCACCATGGTCCAGTACATCAGAATAAACACCTTGTCTGCTCTCTACTTACCTTGCTACGTGATTAATTACAGGAGCAAAGTTGGTGGGCCCATATAGTTGTACAGATTTCAGACTCCTGTAATAAGCCTCCATGACTCCTTCAATGCCATCACAGTAAGGGTTTTGAGGGTTCCCATTCTGCAGAAATGTAGGCAAAAACAAAACCACAGTAAAAGAGAAAATCTCTGTGAATATCAATTGAAAATGACAAGAGAATAATACATGTTGATACTCATAAATATTTTTGGAGGAACACTCATTTATAAATTTACAATAGCAAAACAATACATTAAGTGATCAACAATAGATTATGATATATTATGAAGATCATAACACATAATGTGCAATCATTAAAAATCCATACTCTTCAAAAAAATGGCAGAAGAAAATTTTAAATAATATTAAGCGAAGCTGACCGCCACAACATTCTAAAATTAATAGTATCGTAATTTACACAGGTTTGTGTAGATGTGGAGATAGGCCAGAAATCCTAAAAAGAAAACCAAAGTATTAATAGTGGCTACTTCTAGGTGGTTAGATAACTGCTAACTTTCCTCGCATCCTTTAACCTGGTCTATGTTTTTCCAATTTTTATGCAGTAAACATGTATTAAAATAGATAAATAAATGCTATCAATTCAAATAGTTTAACCCAATAGCAGGAAAAATGTAAAATATCTGCCACATGAATAATTTCAGGCCACAATTCATAACTCCAAGTAGAGAAGGAGTCAGAGGGAATATAATTTGGTGTAGGAAACATCAAGAGAATGCAAAAGAAAAGGAATAAAAAAAAATACCCATGTCATTCAAGGGAAATGGAGCTTGCTGATGCTGTTAAGAAGCTCTTATTCTTAACAGTGCCCAGAAAGGCAACTTTAACGGAAGCTCTTATTCTAGGGACAGGACCTGGAAAGGCAACTTTAACCCTGGACACCTAGGCTAGCTTTTTCATACCGTAAATGCTCTGTCATTATTAGGTTTACTTCTCCTAGTCCAGATGATACAAATAACACAAATAAGACCATGTATTAGTTATCTATTGCTATGTAACAAATTACCCCCAAAGTTATACCCTCTGTATAGTGGCTTAAGACAATTAATATTTACTCTCTCATGTATTTTTGAAGTCTCAGGAATTCAGAAGCAGCTTAGCAGGGTGGTTCCTGAGCAGGATCTCTCATGAGGTTGCAGTGAAGATGCTGACCTGGGCTGCAATCATCTGAAAGCTTGACAGTGGACCGGAGGATCTATTTCCAAAAAGACTCACTTACATGGCTGTTGGCATGAGGCCAAATGGATGCTCCATACGCTGCTTGAGTGTTCTCAAAACACAGCAGCTAACTTTCCCCAGATTGAGTAATCCCAAGCAAACAGCAAGGACAAAGCCCCAATGCCTTTTATAAGCCAGCCTCTGAAGTTACACTCCATCACTCCTACTTTAATGCACTTGCTAGAATGAGTTACTGAATCTGTTCACACTTGAGAAAAAGGAGATACCCTCCACTTTTCGAAAGGGAATATCAAAATTATGTGTGTATATATATATATATATATTTATGCACTAGTGATAGTAACTACATTTAAACATGGTTAGCAATAATTTTAGCATACATATTTTTACCTGAACAAACAATTCTCCTGCCTCAGCCTCCTGAGTAGCTGGGACTATAGGCACACGCCACCATGCCCAGCTAATTTTTGTATTTTTAATACAGGCAGGGTTTCACCATGTTGCCCGGGATGGTCTCGATCTCTTGACCTAATGAACCACCCACCTCGGCCTCCCAAAGTGCTGGTTTTATACTAAAATATTTACATATATAACCTTCATAACCCTAAAAATGTAGGACTGCCATTAACCCCACTTTATAGATTAAGAAACCAAGGCAATGAGAACTTAGATACTGTGCCCAGGGTCACACAACATGACTAGGAGAGCTAATATTTGAACCAGGTGGTCTAACTCCAGAGTTCAATTTCTTTACACCACTATGCCACCAAATTATGAGACCCCAAGCTTTCTACAAGGCTGGAATCTTAGAAAACTGAGCCAAATGTTACCAACTATTTCTATTTTATCATTTGGTAGAAAGGGATTTATATCCATTTTTTTCTTTTTGTCTTTTCTTCAAACACTTTATTAACCCTCATGCATTTTTGAAAGCATTAAATAATAAAAGCCCTCTTTACATTATAAAACTGGTTATATAACTTGGCTGAAACAGAATGTAAAAGAAAAGTTTAACATTTAGCACAAAGCAGTTAATGTTTAGTTTTGATGTTAATCTGAGGTGACCTATTTAACCTTCCTTTAAGATTTTATGGTGCTCTTTTCCCTTGATAAGGTATGAAGCTAATTAAAATTAAAACTCATTACTGATTTTGGGCATATAAAAATGTATTATGTATCTATCTTAAGGGAACAGTTACAAATTAGGGTAGTCCTGAGCTACTTTTAATTTTTAGCATGTTGATTGGAGGTTTACATTTTGATGTAACTGTATGTTACCACTATTTCTCTGGAATTGAAACTACAAGGTCATCATTTTTCTCTTCTTTGATAGTGGAAAGGTAATTAGATTTTCTATTCATCATCATGGAATGTTCAAAGCACTGATTTCTGAATTAGTCCTAATACCATAATAAGTTGCTCTATGGTTTCCTCATATGTCTTAGATGATAAGAATACCTTGCAACATAAAATTATGCCTTCTTTTTAGTATATGCTCTGGATTATATCAGGATTACTTTAAATACTTTATGGCTACTAAATGAGATTTTCTTCTTAACAATAAAGTTGTAATGAGTTATAAAGACTTTTAAATCTGTGACTTGCGCACACATTTATAGCAGCACAACTTGCAATTGCAAAAATATGAAACCAGCCTAAATACCAATAAGCAAGTAAGTGGATAAAGCAAACTTGGAATGTACACACACACACACACACACACACACACACACACAGAAAGGAAGGAAACAATGGCATTCACCGCAACCTGGATGGAGCTGGAGACCATTTTTCTAAGTGGAGTAACTCAGGAATAGGAAACCAAATATTGTATGTTCTCACTTATAAGTGGGAGCTAAGCTATGAGGATGCAGAGCTGTAAGAATGATATAATGAACTTGGAGATGAGGGGGAAGGTGGGAGGAGGATGAAGGACAGAAGACTACATGCTGGGTACAGAGTCCACTGCTCAGGTGATGGGTGCATCAGAATCTCAGAAATCACCACTAAAGAACTTACACATGTAAGCAAAATCCACCTGTTCCCCCAAAACTATTGAAACAAACAGATTTTTAAGTGTGTTTAAAAACTCATTTCTTGAAAATGTTATGCAGGGAATTCGTTATTGCTTGTTAAAACGAATTAGAATGAGTCCATGTGTGGCTCTGACACAAAAATAAAACATAATTTTTTTCGTAAGCACATTTAATTTTGTTGCTTATTAATGAAGAGGATAATGGATGTCCTATTTCCTATTTCCCTCCTAATTAAACTTTCCATTTATAAAATAATACGTTAACTTGTAGAACACATAGAAGAGCATAAAGATCTGACTTTAAAATGATCAATAATTGCACCCCTCAGACTGAAGTGGGGAGGGTGTCCAGCGCTCACACATTCTTCCTCCCATTTAGCTCCCTCAGGGATTGTCCTGAGGGTGTGGATTCGGCATCACGCAAGAAGCCTGTCATCTCTGTTGCCGCCTGCTGCCTGCAGCCTGCGACACTTTTCAGCAGGGCTAACAAGCTGACAAAATACTGAAGAGAAGCTCTTCGGGGCTGTCGCTCTACTCTGAAATGTCACTGTTGCTTACTGTGGGGAAAAGCTGAGAGAATTCTTCCTTTTATTCAATAAACAAACACCTATTGAGCTTCTGTTTTATATATGGTACAGTGTTAAAGACTTCTTGGTTATTAAATTGCTGGTGTCTACTGGGAAAAAATACATACACATAAATATTAAATTGCATACATTTGTATAAATGCCAAAATAAGTGAAAAGCATGCAAGTCCATTTAGGTATTTAGCAGGAGAAACCACTTGGACAGGTGTTAGCATTTCTCTATTGGTCCACGTGGAAGACCTGCTTTTAACAATCACTGGCCACAAGCTCATTAGAAATATACCAGAGCTCTGCACGACTGCATTTTCAGTTATAACCCCAAAGGGAGTCTTCAAGAATTATAATGAGCGGAGAGCAATGACTCATCCTTTTCATAACCATAAGTGTTGGCATGGTAATATCAGGAAATTCTTCCTTTCCTCTCCCATTCTTCTGTCTTTTCCCATAGTGTGTCTCACATAAAAAGCTGAGGTTTACTGAGACCCTTTCAACTGAGCAAAGCTTAAGTTTAACATCTGTGCTAGCCAAAACTTACACACTGGGGGATACTTAAGTTCTTCGGAAGACTCCCTTGCTATCTAAAAGAATTATGTAAATTTGGTGAGATAAATAGGTTACTGTTAGTAAATATATACCACAAATTTGTACCATGGAAATATGAGGATTTATTAACACCAAGTAGTTCATGAAAGGCCAGGCTGTCCTGAAACTGAACTTTTTGTATTTGCCATTTTCAGTAGGTACAGACACATATTGCAGTGATTTAGGACAAGCTTAGCACAGAATACTTCAGCAAGAATCAAATACAATACTATCTAACTGAAGACCTACTTAACCATACCTGCCTTCTTTATCCAACGAAACAGAAGTGCTTTGAAAAAAATTAATCATTTGGTAATCTTAAAGTTGAGGCATTATCCTCAACAATCGTTGTTTTCATCATCAATTTGAAAGACTTTTTCATAGATTTAAAGGGGTATGATCTCTGTCCCATAAATGTTTGAATTGGGCTCAAGGAGCAGATTATGGTATAAATAATAAATATATATAATTCCTTAGCAGTAGATACTCTTGTAGGTTTGGTTACAAGGGGTAAATGTGGAGGTAGGAAAAGCAGAAAAAGAGAAAAGTAGAGGAAGGGAAAGAGGAAAAAAAATACACACTAGCAGAAGAAGAAATGTACAGAAAGAAAATCAACCTCTCATTTAGCTTAACACAATTATTCCTTTTCTTAGTCTTTAAAATAGCTCATGACCTTTTTCCTGAGGCACTTTAGATTTAGAATCACATGAGTGATTTTCATGGTTTTATAAGTTTCTGGAGATTTTAATTTTCTAAGACACAACAAAATCCCAACAGATACTCATTTTTATATGACATTGGGAGTGTGGCATGTGGGCTATTTCATGGAAGAAAGAAGCCCTTCAGCAACCTCTCTTGAAATTGTGTGGGTGATGAAATAGAAAAGAATAAATACAAAAATAAAAATGTAATACTGCTCTTAAAACATATTTGAGAAAGATGAAATCTTATATAAAAGTACATATATCATGGTGTTAAAATAAGCATGTATCCAAGAGGTGAGATTACAGGTGCTTTTTTAAGATGTGTTTTAGCTGTAGTTAAGAGCATGAATTCTAAAATAAGACCGACTTGGGTTCAAGTCCTGTCCTTTGGGACAACGGTCAACTTCTGAGCCTCTGAACTGAGTTACACAACTCCTGGGAGCACTTTTCTTACCACAGGTAATGAGATTGGCAGTTTCTAGAGCAGTGTAATGTGTCAGCATGAAATATCTATCACATAGGAATTTTGTGAAGATTATATAAGATAATGAGTGTAAAGGGTGAGACTCCATACTCAGTAGATACTCAGGATTAAGTCAAATACTATTTTACTGAAAACCTACTCAACCCTTGTCTTATCTGAGAAAACATAAGTGCTCTGAAAAATTTAAAGTAACATAATCATCAGGCAAGACTAAAGTTCAAACATTATCATCATCAACAACATAATCATTCTTATTTTCATCATCAACGTGGGAGACTATTTTTCATAGATTTAAAGAAGTCTGACCTCTTTTAATCTGTTTGTGCTATATGAGAATACCTGAGATTTGGTAATTTATAAATAATAGAAATGTATTTCTCAGTTTTGGAGGCTAGAAGGTCCAAGATAAAGATGCCAGCAGGTTCAGTTGCCTGGTGAGAGCTGTGTCCTCAAAGGTGAGGAACGCTGTGTTCTCACTTCACAGAAAGCAGGACAAGCTGAGTAAAGCCTCTTTTATAAGGGCCTTAATTTCATTCATGAGGGAGGAGCCCTCGCAGACCAACCAGCTTTTAAGGGCCTCACTGAATACTATTACATTAGCAGCACCTGAACACTGGAAGGAAACATCGAAGCTACAGCAAAATCCATCCTATACGTGTTTTAATTGGGCTCAAATAACAAATGAAGGTGAGGCACAGTGGCTCATACCTGTAATCCCAGCACTCTGGGAGGCTGAGGCAGACAGATCGCCTGAGCTGAGCAGTTTGAGATCAGCCTGGCCAACACACTGAAAACCCTGTCTCTACTAAAAACTAAAAATACAAAATTGAGCCAGGTATTATGCATGCCTGTAATTCTAGGTACTCAGGAAGCTGAGGCAGGAGAATCGCTTGAACTGGGGAGGCAGAGTTGATCTCACCATTGCACTCCAGCCTGGGCAACAGAGCAAGCCTCTGTTGAAGAAAAGAAAAGAAAAAAGAAAGAGGAAGAAAGGCAGGAAGTGAGAAAGGGAGGGAGGGAGGAAGAAGAAGGAGGAGGAGGAGGAAGAAGAAGGAAGAGGCAGAAAAAAGAAGAAGAAAGAAGAAAGAAGAAAGGAAGAAAAAGGAGAAGAGGAAGAAGAGGAGGAAGAGGAAGAAGAAAGAAGAAAGGAGGAGGAGGAGGAGAAAGTAAGGCACAAATACTTCCTTAACACTTGAGGAAGTGTTCAGGACAGGTTGAGTATCCCTTATCTGAAACCAGAGTGTTTTAGATTCTGAATTTCTTTTTTTGGATTTTAAAATAATTATACAATTACCAGTTGACCTTCTCAAATCTTAATATCCAAAATCCAAATTGCTCTGATAAGCATGTCCTTTGAGCATCTTTTTCAGATTTGGGAGCATTTACTTTTCTGATTTGGGATGCTCAACCTGTATATTTTTATTATAGGTTTGGTTATAAGGAATGAACATAGAGGTAGGAAAGGCAGCAAAGGAGAGAATTACAGAGACAGAGAAAGGGACAAATTCAAGGTTGAGAGAAGCATATGAAAGGAAAATTAACAAACCTCATTGAATTTAACACAATTTATCTTCTTAGCTTTTAAAAACAATGGTAGGTTAAAGATAGCCACACATTCTTTGATACTCTTCCCATTGTGAAGTGAAGGTTAATTCTTCTACCTGAACCCGGGATGGTCTTAATAACTTGCTTGACCAATAGGATGTTGCAGAAATAACATTCTGGGACTTCCAAGAATATGATATAGACATCCTTGGAGTTTCTATCGCAGACTTTTAGAATACTCACCCTGGGAAAGCTGGCAGCTGCATAAGAAATCCTACTACAATGAGACCACCATACAATTATGAAGCCCTCTGTAACTACAGAGACAGGCTATATGTAAAGCAAGGGAGAGTTGCCTAGGCAACCCTAGCTTTTCAGCTGTTCCATCTCAGGCCCACGACATGAACGAACATGAGCAAAGAAGTCATGTTAGGAGACATATCAGCCCCAGAAGACATAACATGGAGAAGATCTAAGGTATTCAACAGACAGCCAGAACTAAGTTGAAAAATATGACCCCAGTCACCAATTCCAGGCATCTCTAGCCATTCAAATCAACTAAACTAAGACTCCAGATACTACAAAGCAAAAAAACCCAAAAAACCAAAAAACAAAAAACCCCGCTATCTCCCATTAATGTTCTGCTTGAATTCCTGAGCCACAAATCATAAGCATAATAGAATGATATTGTTTTATATCTCTAAGTTTTAGGAAGGTTTGTTATGCAGCAATAGATAACCAAAATAGACCCCCTATTCATAAATGAGGTGGGTGCACTTCAGGTAGATTTATGGCTATTTAGCTGTTCTTTTTCCCATTAAGCTCACACTCCAATGTCAGTTACTTACCAAAATGTAGCTACAGTCAGAAAAGCTTGCTATATAACTAAAGAATAAGCACCAAAGCCATACTAAAAGGTCTCCTTTTGATATATTCTTACCAAAGCAAATTCATGAGATATCCTTCCATCTGGAGGCAGTTTTGCACCAAAACCTAGAGCTGGAAACATTTTATCACTGTCATAATCTTGAACAATTTCTCCCACTGCTTTCAGTGCCATACCATAGGCATTCAGCTGGTAAGGATTCATGTAGTGGAGGGAAGTGGGCTGAGCTGGGTTGCCTGATGATAGAACACATATTTCAAACATAAGCGATTAGGCTACATATATTTAACAAGATTTTTCTTGGTGTCTATTTCAGAATGAAATATTCAAAACTACATTTTTCTGCCTATATCTACAGTGTGTCAAATTGTTTCTTTTTGGATGGCTATTAACACAGAAATATTTGTTACATTATATTAGACATATAGAAAGTTCTAAGATATGCCAAAGCATATGCAGAATTTTTCAGAAATGACTTCATTTCAATGCCACAGGCTATTTTTGAGTTTCACTTCTGGAAGTATAAAAGTACTTTTGTTAATCTTATTTTGTTATAAACTTTATTTTTAAATAAAATCATGTGCCTTTAGCTTGAATCCTTATGCCTACAGCAAGATGACCCAATAGACGAATTTCAATAATTATGAAGGCTTCATAATGTTGTATCACCAATATAAACTGAGTTTTTGAGAAATATCCCAATTTAGCATTTAAAAAGGGAAGCATAGTGATTTTCAAGGGCAGGCTGATTAAATAACTACATCTACAAAATTCTTCACAACTTTCTAACTAGACATTAAGCTAAGAGCCAGAGGCCAGAGTCAAGTCTTGCCATTTGTATGGCAGCCTCTGTAAAATAAATCCTACCACTGTGTTTACCAGGAGGACAAAATGAGACTACATGTTTAAAAGTGATTACAAATAATAATGCACCATAGAATTGTAAGTTGAACTGCTACAGTTATTCTGGTCTGGGTCATCCACAAGGTTCTTCTGAGTGTCAAAAATGTTTATCCTGTGTAGGAGGTTGTATTTGAATAGTGATGAAATTGAGAGCAAGAGTCATGTATTAATATGTGCTACCACTCAAACACACTGAGATTCACATCCATTTGCCCTAATTACCAGCATAAAGGCAGCCTGAAAGTCCATTTGGTTTCTTAAGTGAAAATGGAAAGTTAAATGAGACTTGTAACAGCACATAAAGCTCAATTTTACATTAAAGCATTGCCTGAAGAAGAAAAGCCTCAGGGCATAGTTTTTCTGATAAGGAAAAAAAATAACAAAGAGCACTTGAGATCCAGAGAGAAACAAAATAAAGATGTCCCCTTAGGTTATTTGACAGGAAATTATACACAGAATACGTTTGTCCTAAAACTAATTCATTTATATATATATATATATATATATATATATATATATATATATATATATATAAAATATATATTTCCAAGAGTTATCAGTATTCCAGGGTTGGCTCCATATAATAAAATTGCTAAAAAAGTATCTTCTGTCCACTATCGCCTTAATGTTCCCCTCAACTTGACTAAACTTTCAGAAAGTTTCTTCCTGGGCTGGGTGAGGTGGATCATGAGGTCAGGAGTTCAAGACCAGCCTGGCCAAGATGGTGAAACCCTGTCTCTATTTAAAAAAAAAAAGAAAGAAAGAAAGTTTCTTCTCGACTATAAGACCCTGACCAGTCTTTTCTTACACACTCAATTTAGAAAAGTTGCAATTGTAAATTCTTCCTCTGCCTCCTTTGAGATGTAAATCTTCTACAACCAAGGAATACCTTTCTCAAGGACATGGAAGCCACCCCTTTGAAATATAAACATCAAGAAAAACAGCAGCCCTATCTTCCAGTCTCCCTGAGAAGACAGAAGCCTAACTTCAATAAGCACCAATTAGCAAACAGAGATGGCCTAGGCACACACACCAACCTCTGTGCTAACATCCTCCAGGACCTTTCCAGTAGCTCACCTCAGCAAGCACGAACACTCCAGCCTTTTGTTTTGGAGTAGATGTGTTCAATGTTTGTCCTCTATTGTAATAGTCTTGACCCCTTTGCAATGGACTTAAATAAAGCCTTTCTTGCCTTTTTAAGTTGTCCAGTGTGAATTTTCTTTGACATTTACTACTAAAATAGGGACTTTGCCACTCGATCAAAAGCCCAGTGGAATCAGAGATAAAAAATATCATTAAAATACTAAATGGTTATTCAACACGACTCTCATGCCTGTAATCCTAGCACTCTGGAAGGCTGAGGCAGGTAAATAACTTAAGCTCAGGAGTTCACGACCGGCCTGGCCAACATGGTGAAACCCTGCCTTTATAAAAAATACGAAAATTAGCTGGGTGTGATGGCATGTGCCTATAGTCTCAGCTACGTGGGAAGCTAGCTGAGACTACAGGCACATGCCGTGGGAGGATTGCTTAAGCCCAGGAGGTCAAGGGTGTAGTGAACCCCTGATAGTGCCACTGTACTTCCAGCGTGAGCAAAAGAGCAAGACCCTGTCTCAAACAAACACCTTCTCCAACTCTCAAACTCACAACTACAGAAGAGTTTTAACCCAGTGGCGATAATATGGCAAAGTTCTACTTCACTATGAAAACTATGAATAAAAAAATAGTCTTAATACCCCAAAACATTTAAACATTTGAACCTATCATGCATAGCTGGGCCCTTTGTACTCATACAAAGATGTCATCCATTTCTTTCCAGCAGCCTCCTCTACCCCAGTCTCTCCATAGTACTTCTAAGGATACTTTCCCTCCCACCTCTCTCTCTCAAGTTGCCATCCTGTCCTGAAATTTACCTTCTTCTCCAACTTATGTCTCACATAAACAAGACAACCCTCTTTTTTTTATTCCAGCCCTCATTGTCTTTTCTCTTATACTGTTATGGATCTTGTGTTCGGTACCAAAAAAAATTTGGCAATTTAAATATTGAGTCAACTCCTCGAGTCTGGGACAGTGTTTATATTTCCTCTGTACCTGCAAAAATGCTGATAAACAATGAATTTGTCGTGGGTTAGTAACATTGGGGCCCAACTAATAGCAATAATAATTATAAAACGGAACCTAACATGTATGGACCACTTTATATCTCACTTAATCCTTTCAACAAACTTACAGTATGGATACTTTTATTATACACATTTTTCAGATTAAATAACTTGCTTCAAATTATACAGTAATAACCAGTAAAACTAGAATATGAATTCAGGCACTCAGCTTTTATAGCCCTTTTAGTTATAACTCTTAAAGATTTTGTAGTATTTTAAACTCAGAATATTATTGAAATTATATCTGATTTTGCTTTAGAGTTGTACTATGCCTTTGTAAAAAAAAAACACAGTTGAATATTTTTAACAGTTTGAGACATAATCACATAAGTTACATATTAACCATTTGAAATATATAATTCAGCTGGACATGTTGGCTCATACCTGTAATCCCAGCATTTTGGGAGGCCAAGGTGGGTGGATCGCTTTGAGCTCAGGAGTTTGAGACCAGCCTGGGCAACATGGTAAAATCCCATCTTTACAAAAAGCACAAAAAATTAGCCAGGAGTTGGTGGCATGCACCTGTAGTCCCAGCTACTCTGAGCTGGGAGAATCCCACTGAGGCTGGAGAATCGCTTAAGCCCTGGAAGCAGCAGTTGCAGTGAGCTAAGATTGCTCCACTGCACTCCAGCCTGGGCGACAGGGTGAGACCCCATCTCACAAAACAAAACAAAAAACAATTCAATGATTGTTAGTATATTAATAGTTATGTGCATTCATCACTATAGTGAATTTTAGAACATTTTCATCACCTTGAAAAGAAACTGTACCCATTAGTTACCACCCTATCCCTAAACAATGACTAATCAACTGTCTCCATTGATTTGAGTCTTCTTGAGAGTTCATAAAAACAGAATCACCTAATATGTGATCTTTTGTAACTAGCTGCTTTCACCTAGCTTAAAGATCTCAACAATCATCTCTCTCGTAGCATGCATGTATTAATGCTTTCTTTTTGTTGATTGCAGAACATTATTCCATTGTATGGATACACCACATTTTCTTTATCATTTATCACTTGTTAGACATTTGGGTTGCTTCCACATTTGGGATATTATGCTGTTTTATATATATATATATATATATATATATATATATATATATATACACACACACACACATATATTCATGTACAAATTTTTGTGCTGACATTTGTTTTTATGTCTCTTCAGCATATATCTAGGAGTGACATTGCTGGGTGATATGGTAACTCTACATTTAACAATTTGAGGAACGTAGTGAAGTGTTTTTCTAAAGTGGTTGTACCATTTTACATTCCCATTGACAGAGTTTGGATGTTTGTCCCCTCCAAATCTCGATGTTGGTGATGGAGCCTGGTAGGAGGTGTTTAGATCATTGGGTAGGATCCCCTGTGAATGGCTTCATACTGTCTTCATGGTAACAAAGGAATTCTCTCTCTGTTAGTTCATGTGAGAAGTGGTTGTTAAAAGAGCACAGTACCTCCTCTTCTCTCTCTCTCTCTTGCTCCCACCATGTGATGTGATGGCTGCCCCTCTGCCTTCCACCATGACTGAAAGATTCCTGGGCCTAACCTGGTGTCATCTTTATACAGCCTGCAGAACTGTGAGCTAAATAAACCTACTTTCTTTATAAATTTTCTGGCCTCAGGTATTCTTTTACAGCAATGCAAATGAACTAACATACCCACCAACAATGTTATGAGAATTTTGGTTTCATTATATCCTCACCAGCCCTTTTTATTTGACTGTTTTATTATAGTCATCCTAGTGGGTAAGAAATAATATCTCATTATATAGTTTTGATTTGCATTTCCTGATGCCTAAATTTGCCAAAAATCATTTCATGTGCTTATGGGCCACTTGTATATTCTTCTTTGGAGAAATATCTATTTAGATCCTTTGCTCACTTTTAAAATTGGATTTTTCTTTTTTATTGAATTGTAATTTATATATTCTAGATTCAAGTCCCTCATGAGTGATATAATTTGCAAATATTTCTTCCATTCTGGAGGATGTCTTCACTTTCTTAATAGTGTCTTTTGAAGCATAAAAAGCTTTGATTTTGAAGTTCATTTTATCTATTTTGTTGTCATTCATGAGTTTGGTGTCATATTTAATAATCAACTGCTAAATCCAAAGTCATGAAGATGCATCTTTATGTTTTCTTCTGAGAATTATAGCACATTAGCTCTTACATTTAAGTATTGGATCCACTTTAATGTTTGTATGTGAGGGAAAAGTCCAGCTTCACTCTCTTGCATGTGGCTATCCAGTTGTCCCAGCACCATTTGCTGCCAAGACTAGTCTTCTCCCATTGCAATGTGTTGGTACTCTTCTTGAAATTAGTTGACCTTGGACACAGGGGTTTACTTTTGCAAACATGTTTCAATTTTGTTGAGCTATATAACCCTCTTTATGCCATTAGGACACTGCTTTAATTCCTGTTGCTTTGTAGTAAAGTTTAACAGTGAGAAATATGACTCTTCCCACTTAAATGTTGTTTTCCAAGTTTGCTTTGGCTCTTCTAGGTCCTTTGCAATGTCATATTAATTTACATATGAATTTCCTCCAAAAGATCTTTTCAGACTTTGATAAAGATTGCTTTAAATTAATCTCATATTAATTTATGTAATTCATGTTACATAAATTCATGTATTTCTTCCAAAAAGTTCTTTCAGATTTTGATACAAATTGCTTTAAATCTGTAGATCAGTTTGGGAAACACTGCTACCTTAACAATGTGGGGTCTTCTAATCCATGAGCATGGCTTGTTTTTCTCTTTATTCTGATATTTAATTTATTTCAACAAAGTTTTTTCAGAAAATAGTTTGCACTTATTTTGTTTCCAAGTTTTTGGACTTTATGTTTTGTACTTCTTTTGTTTTCCATTATTTTAACCATATTTGTTTATTTTATGAATAAGTATCCACAATTTCACAATCAGTATACTATAAAAAGATTTCCATAAGGAGGTTCTTAGTTCACCTAATTCATTAGTGCTGATCACTTTTTGTTTATTATATGTACTTCTAATATTTATGCATTTATTTATGTTATATAATTTATATTCCTATATAAAAGATGGCACACTAATAATTGATAACTCTGTTCTCTACTTTGTTCTTTATATTTAACAATATATCTTAGAAGTCTTTCCATATTAGTAGAAAGAGTCAATTTTCCTTCCTTCCCTCCCTCCCTCCCTCCCTCCTTCCCTCCCTCCCTCCCTCCCTCCTTCCCTCCCTCCCTTCCTTCCCCTTTCTTTTCTTTTCGTGGCTGCATACTGTTTCATTCTGTGGCTGAACCACAGTTTATTTCACCAGTACCCAGCTGATATACTCTATGAAGCTTTCTGAACTTTTTTTTTTTACTTTATACAAATTACTATGAATGACATTATACACTATGGCATTTTCCGTGAGTGCAGGTAAATCTATATTATATATATATTTCCAGAACTAGAATTGCTAGTTAAATTTATTCATAAGTGTATTATTCCTTTTGACACTATGATAAAAGGGAATTGTTTTCTGAATTTCATTTTCTAATTGTTTCTTGGAAATGCATAAAAAAGAACCGAGTTTTATATATTGGTCTTCTATCCTGCAAACTTGCTTATTTATTGGTTATGGTAGATTTTCAGTGGATTCCTTAGAATTTTCTATATACAAGATCCTGTCATCTGCAATAAGGATACTTTCATTTCTCCCTTTCTCATCTGGATATTTTGTATTTAGTTTTCTTCCCTGATAGCTTTGGCAACAACCTCCAGTATAATGCTGAAGAAGTGGGAGCATACATTTTTGTCTGGTTTTTCCTCTCAGGAGGAAAATGTCAGTGTTTTCACCACTAAGTAGGATGTTAGTTGTAGACTTTACATAGATTCCCTCATCAGGTTAGGAAGTCTCCATTTCTAGCTTGTTGAGTGTTTTTAACATGGAAGTGGATTGGACTTTGTAAAATTGCTTTTTCTGCATCAATTGAGATTATCATGTGGTTTCTGTGTTTTCTTCTATCAATAGGATGTTGATATGGTTTGGCTGTGTCCCCACCCAAATTTAATCTTGGATTGTAGCTCCTTTAATTTCCCTGTGCCATGGGAGAGCCCCAGTGGGAAGTAATTGAATCATGGAGGTGGGTCTTTATCATTCTGTTCCCATGACAGTGAATAAGTCTCATGAAATCTGATAGTTTTATAAAGGGGAGTTCCCTTGCACGTGCTCTCTTGCCTGCCACCATGTAAGACATGACTTTGCTCCTCATTTATCTTCTGCCATGATTGTGAGGCCTCCCCAGCCATGTGGCACTGAGTCAATTAAACCCCTATCCTTTAAAATTACCTAATCTTGAATATGTCTTTATTAGTAGCATGAGAGAAGACTAATACACGTGTGTTATATTATTTGATTTTTAAATACTAAAAATACTCTCATTCCAATAACAAATCTTTGTTAGGCATATAAATCTCTTGGTATCAAGATAATATGGACCTCATAAAATGACCTGGGAAAGTAACTTTCTTCTTCTATATTTTGGAAGAGTTTGTGAAGAATTGGTATTAATTCTTCTTTAGATATTTGGTATAATTTCCTAGTGAAGCTACCTGGCCTTGTGTTTAGATTACCCTTGTAGGTAGTCTTCTAAAACTACTAATTCAACATTTTACTTGTTACAGATCTACTCTGATTATCTGTTTCTTCTCAAGTCAATGTCAGAAATGTTTGTCTTTTTATTGAATAAATTCTTGCTTATCTTAGTTGTGCTAACATTCATCAGTGAACAAAAATCTAGTATTTTAAAGCAATTGGATTTTAGGTATTATTCCTTTGTTTGTTTTATTTTGTTTTGTTTTTGAGATGGAATGTTGCTCTGTTGGCCAGTCTGCAGTGCAGTGGCACAATCTTGGCTCACTGCAAGCTTTGCCTACTGGGTTCAAGTGATTCTCCTGCCTCAGCTTCCTGAGTATCTGGGACTACAGGTGTGCACCACCACACTTGGATAATTTTTGCATATTTAGTGGAGATGGGGTTTCACCATGTTGGCCATGCTGGTCTCAAACTTCTGATGTCAGGTGATCTGCCTGCCTCGGCCTCCCAAAGTGCTGGTATTAGAGGGGTGAACCATCATGCCTATCCTTAGCTATTATTTCTATGTTCTATATTATGCTGAATAAAACATGAGTAAAAATCATTCATTGGAAGCCATAATGTTGGAAAATGAACGTGACATGCAGTGAAAGCTGAATTAGAGTCTGATCTTATCTGTAGCTCTAACTCTAGAACTAACAAGCCAAGTGTGTTTATTAGTAAAAGGATTCCCTGGATCTGAGTGTCCTTATTTGTATAAGAGGAGGGTTCAATTAAGTGATCTCTAAGGTGCTTTCTTCCCTAAAATTTCTATTATTTTGTAAAATGTGAAACATTGCAAGATAAAAAAATGAAATAAAAGGAATACAAGGTGAGATCCATAGACATAATAAGCCATTTGAAAGAAAAAATAGACAAATATAAACTAGTGGCAACTTCTAGTAAAAGTGACATAAAGAGGTTCATATTCTGATGATACATAATAATTAATTTCAAATGATGGTTCTGTCTGAAATAAAATTGAGTCAAAATAAAAGCCCACTATATTTTTTTCTTAAAAGCTTTAATATATAAATTATGAATATCTATATATGGACTGTTACATATCAGTCCCTCTGAGTGAATTAGATATTAATATGTTAACATGAGTAATTATTAAAAATTACTAATTGATTAAAAGTTAACCAACTTTATAAAGAACAGATACTACTGAATTACATTCATATAAATTCATACATACAAAAGTACTATAAAATGAAGATTATAATTTGATATACTTCAGAATTATATATGGGAAAGAACAGCGGGTAGGAGAATGGGTCAGAGATATACGGTGGGCTTCAATACCTCTAAAATGTGTATTCTTTTAAACACATGTAAAGCAATAATGACAGTATTTTAATCTTTAACAAGTCTGACAGAGACTATTAGCATTTTTGTTACATTATTTCTAGCCTTTTGCATATTTGAACTATTTCATATTAAAAATGTATATTTTATATGCAAAATGTCAGAAATATGTAAATATATGAAAATCACCCTCATGAAAATACAAATTTATTTTTCATGTAATTGCTGATGATTTTTATCAAGAGATAATCAAAACACTTACCGTTTGATGCTGTAAAATCAATAGCCACTGTGAAATTGATTTGCGTTCTAGAATATAAATAAACAAAAATTGCTATTAATGAAATAACCTCATAAAAGGAATTTGTTTTCCATTTGGGTTATATTTTTTAATGTCACCAATTTTCTCGATAGGCAGTTTTACATGGTAAGAACTCGGCAAAAATATATTTATTGTTACATATGTTTATAGTCATATAAAATGAAAATCAGAGTCTGAGGAATAAAAGCAGCTCCTACTTTGGAATACGGTAACTAAGTGAGTGACTCATAACAAAGCAGCCAAACTGCAGATAATTGTTTTCCAGCCTCAATGCCACAATTTATTAATTTATCTGTATCCAAAATTGTTCTGCAGTAATTGTAAAATTAGTATTCCCCTTAAAAGTGTTGCATTACTAAAATCATCTCTAATAATGTCATTTATTAAATTAATTCTTTTTGACAATCCCCCAAACATAGGATTTTCTTCAGCATCCCTTCCTGATAAAACCCTCAAGAAGCTAGGCATCGAAGGAGCACTCCTCAAAATAATAAGGGCCATGTATGACAAATTCACAGCCAACATCATACTGAATGGGTCAAAACTGCAAACGTTCTCCCTGAGAAGTGGAATAAGTCAAGGATGCCCACTCTCACCGCTCCTATTTCACATAGTACTAGAAGAACTGGCCAGGGCAATCAGGCAAGAGAAAGAAACTAAAGGCAACCAAATGGGAAAATAAGTTAAACTGTCTTCTTCATGGACCATATGATTCTACACCTAGAAAATCCTGAATACTCTATAAAAAGGCTCCTGAAACTGATAAACACATTCTGTAAAGTTTTAGGATACAAAATCATGTACAAAAATCAGTAGCATACTTATACTCCAACAACGTTCAAGCTGAGGGCCAAATGAAGAATGCAATCCCATTCACAAGAGTAATACGCAAAAAATAAAATACCTAGGAATAAATCTAAACAAGGGAGCGAAAGATCTCTAGCAAAAGAAGTGTAAAACACTGCCATAAGATATCACAAAACATACAAAAGAAAACACATTCCATACTCATGAATTGGGAGAATCAAAGTAATTAAAATAGCCACACTGCCCAAAACAATCTAAAAATTCAGTGATATTCTTATCTAAGTACTAATATTATTTTTCACAGAATTGGGAAAACACTATTCTAAAGTTCATATGGAACCCAGGAAGAGCCTGAATAGTCAAAGCAATCTTAAGCAAAAAGAACAAGGCCAAAGGCATCACATTATCTGAATTTTTAGTATGATACTACAGTAACCAAAACAGAATAGTACTGGTACAAAAAAAGACACACAGATCAATAGAACAGAATAGAGAGCTGAGAAATAAAGCTGCACACCTAAAGATATCTGATATCTGACAAAGTTAACTAAAATAAGCAATGGGGAAATTTATTAAGCAGCATTTTATTGAATAACTTTTATTTAATAAATGGTGCTAGAATAGCTGACTGGCCACATGCAGAAGAATGAAACTTGACTCCTACCTTTCACCTTATATAAAAATTATTAAATCAAGAAGGATTAAAGATTTAAGTATGAGACCTCAAACTGTAATTATCCTAAAAGAAAATCTTGAAAACACCATTCTGGATTTTGGGCTTGGGAAAAAATTTGTAACTAAGTTCTCAAAAATAATCACAACGAAAACAAAAATTGACAAGTGCGACCTAATTAAACTAAAGAGCTTCTGCACAGCAAAAGAAACTATCAACAGAGTGAACAGACAACCTAGAGAATAGGAAAAAATATTCACAAACTATGTATCTGACAAAGGTCTACCATCCAGAATCTACAAAGAACTTAAACCAATTAACAACAACAACAAAAACAAACAAACAAAAAAACCCAACTAAAAAATGGGCAAAGAACATAAACAGACACTTCTAAAGAGGACATACAACTATCCAACATAAATGAAAAAATGCTCCACACCAGTAATCATCCGAGAAATGCAAATGACAAGCACAATCAGATAACATCTCACTTTAGTCACAATGGCTATTACTAGAAAGTCAAAAAACAACAGATGTTGGCGAGGCTGTGGAAAAAAGGGAATGCTTATACATGGTTGGTGAGAATGTAAACTAGTTCTAGCCACTGTGGAAAGCAGTTTGGAGACTTCTCAAAGAACTTAGAACTACACTGGATCCAGAAATCCCATTATTGGGTATATACCCAAACGAAAAGAAATCATTTTACCAGAAAGACATATGCACTCCATGTTTATCGCAGCATTATTTGGAATAGCAAAGACATTGAGCCAACACAGGTGCTCATCAACAGTGAACTGAATATAGAAAATGTTGCACACACACATCATGGAATACACACAGCCACAGAAAAGAAGTCATACTCTTTGCAGCAACATGGATGTAGCTGGAGGCCAATATCCTAGGCAAATTAATTCAGGAACAGAAAGCAAATACCACATATTCTCCCTTACAAGTGTGACCTAAACATTGGATATTCATGGACATAAAGATGTCAAAAATAGACAATGCTGACTACTAGAGGAGAGAGGGAAGAAGGGTGGCACGGGCTCAAAAATGAACTGTTGGGTACTATGCTCAGTCAGTACCTGGGTTTGCAGGATCATTTGTACCATTAACCTCATCATCACCCAATACACCCAGGTAACAAACAGGCATGTCTAACTCTTGAATCTAAAATAAAAGTTGAAAAAGAAATACACAGGATTTTCTTTTTTTTTGTTTTCTTCAGAAATGAAGTATTCCAGACACTAGTGTTTTATTGCTCACAGCATTTCTCTCTGTGCTTGTGTGTATGTGTATGTGTGCATGTGTATGTGTGTGTATGTGTACTTACAGATATAGGTAAGTACAGATATATAGCAATTGATGAAATATGTTATAAAATGCTCAACTTGCAGTGGGGTTACATACTGATAAATAAACTGTAAGTTGAAAACATTGTAAGTCAAAAAATGCATTTAATATAACTTACCTAAGGAAAGTCATAGCTTACTCTAGCCTAGCTTATTCTGCTCTGAACACTTCCATTAACCTAGAGTTGGACAAAATAATCTGGCAACACAGTATGCTGTAGAGTATCAGTTGTTTACCCAGTGATCCAGCTCTGGCCACTGTTCAGCATCAGGAGAGAGCATCACTCTACTGAATGTGTATTGATTTTGCACCATGGTAAAGAATAATGTTGTTGAACTATTGTAATTTGGGGGCCATCTGTATACATATTTTTAAATTTCAGGACTCAGTTGTTACCCAAAGTTATTTTACTGAATTAGTTTATTTTTTTTTCTTTTTTTTTCCTGATGGAAACTAATGAGGTGGCATTCACATAAGTAATTCACTTTTGAATATATCTATGACTCTATATGTAATTCCACCTTTTTCTTACCAGAGAAAATGTAAAAGCACAAATACATGACAATGCTATAATTACTGTAACAACCTGGAATCACATCTAATCTACAAAATATTTTTTAATTAAAAAGTAAATCATCTGAAAACATGACTTTGACTACTTTTTAGCAACAAATTACTTTTGAAACACAGCACAATTGATTTAACACTTCAAAGTTTGGAACCATTGGATAAATAATGATGGGATTTAAATAGAGCAATCTGATTCTGCTACTACAGCATAGGGTCCCTTGTAGTTCTCACAGTAAAAAGTATAAGGATATTTCCTTCATTTTCCAAATATGCAGCCTGAAAAGACCTAAGTACAATCAAGGGACTGAATCAAATTCACACATTTTTTTCTCCTACAGAAAAACAACCTTTCATGCTTACATTTAATAAAAACTAGTATAGATTCCCTTTATATTAATAGTTATATGGTATTTTTTTTCTCAAAGTAGAAATCAGGTTTATAGGCTAAGAATATAGGCTAACTTGGAGCATAACACTAACCAGAATGAACCTAAGTCAGTACAAACTTTTAGAAAAAGAATATAGGAAGATTTCTGGGAGAACCCTGTCAGATAAAAGCCCTTTAGAGGGGCTGAAAAGAACCATCAGCACCCTGCTTCATCATGCTGTGCTAGAGAGAGAAATGACTGTAATACATGGCAGTACAGTAGATTAGAAAGGGTGTGGATTTTGAATCTGAATGAAGTGGTTTTGAGTCCCAGCAACCCAGTTGGCGACCTTAGCCAAATTTCAGAACTCTTGGAGGGCAAGAGCCTGGCACATAGAAATGAAATGAGAATTGAAAGGAAACAACATGAGCTATTACATATATATTTTATTTTATACACATAATATATATATATATATACACATATATATCACAATATAGTCACATTATATATATCACACATTATATATAATGTGAGGTTACATGGCTTGTACCAGTTAACAACACAAATAATTTTATAGAGAAGATACTATAATCCTCTTTTTATAAAGAAGGAAATCTATGTGCACAAAACGTAATAAATTTCCACAACACTAATAAACGACAGTAATGGAATTTGAATTCACATTCAATCACAAAGACCATAATCATAACCCCTATACTAATGTGTTTCTCCAATTAAATATTTGCAAACTTCCTGGCTATAATAGGCACACAGTAAGGAATACTGATTATTATGCTGCAAATCTATAAAAAACACTAGACAGAGGTTCTTAATGATAAAAAGCATCTGGATATAATCTCATGCTTGGGCAAAATTTTCCTTCTATCAAGTATGTTATCAAATACATAAATAATCTGTACATATTCTTTTTTATGTTATTTTATTCAAAATAACATCTCATTAGGAATAAAGAATAACTTTGAGCTTTAAGAATATATGTTTTAGCTTATTATAAAGATCAATTTAGAAGTTCAGTCTTTGGTTCAAACTCTACACTGCCGAGAAAGACACATCATTATCTTGATTCAACTCTCTCCCATAACAGTGTCTGCAGAATGCTTTCCACATATTGAAACCTCACCGTATTTACTGGGCAACTGGATGCATTTGTTTTAAGGTTGTTTCTAACTTGTTGTCTCCAGGGTAGCTTAAG